AGAACTCTACCTACCGACCTGGGGTCATCAGACCAGCCCACAGATGCACACCACTGGCTATTATGGTAAGCAGTCTCTCTTTTTTGCTTTCCCATTCTTTTGTCTTTTCCTTTCCACTTCCTCCCCCTTTCAGTTTCATCCTTTTTCCACCACAAAGACAAGGAAAATCAGGTAAACCAGGTTTTTCTGCGTGGTTCAGAACCAGAAAAAATCCTATGTAGGTCATGGATCTAGGGACCGAGTTTTCCCCAGGGGTTTGACTATCATGGAGACGTTCACCCTAGTTACTCGCCCACGAGGCTCATGGCTCATATTGGTGGCAGGTCAACACAGAAGACGCTCTTTTTGACCACTCACCGAGGAGGTTCAACCCAGGCTCAACTAGGGACACCTATTAAGCAGGTGGGTTGCATGCCCATTTTCCTTGTCTCTGCTGCCTTTCTAGAACCACAGGCAAGGGTCCATCCTCTATCCCTCCTTCCTTTCTGCTGGCCTGTGTTCTAAAAAAAACCACAAGCTTCTTCAACTGTCTCCTCACCTAAAACCCAAATGTCTCATCTTCTTCTGTAACACTGCATGGCCACAATACAAGTTAAACAACGGCTCCAATTGGCCAAAAAACAGCACCTTTAGCCTCGTATTTTACAAATTTAGACAATTTTTGTTGCAACATGGGCAAATGGTCTGAAATTCCCTATGTCCAGGCATTTTTTCACACACCAATCCCTCCCTAATCTCTACTCGTCTCCCTTCCATCTGCCCCTCCTTCCTCTGCCAGTAACCCAGAATCTTTGTCCATTGACCCTTGCAACCTTTCTCCTCCCTGCTTGTCCAAACCAGACCCTAATCCAGGACCTAACCCCACCCCCTCAGAGCCTTCCTCCTCTTCCTCTGCCCACAACCCACCTCCTTATGCCCCTCCTGTCACCTTCCCACCTCATACGTGGTCTGGCTTACAGTTTAGTCCCTCGGCTATCTCCTCTGCCCCTGCCCAACAATTTCCCCTTTGAAAGTTAACTGGAGCCAAAGGCATAGTTAGGGTGCACGTTCCTTTCCCTTTAACCAACCTTTCCCAAATTAGGCTCCTTTTCATCAAATCCTCCAATACTTAACCCAGTCCTTTAATCTCACCTGGAATAACTTAAATGTCATCCTTACTTCTACTCTCACGCCTGAAAAATTCTTAATATGCATTTTATCACCCAATCAACCCCAACATTACAAAGATACAGAAATCAAAATCTGGCCTTCAAACCCCACAACAGGAATTAAGTAACCTCACCTTCAAGGTGTTCAATAATAGGGAAAAATCTGCCCGGCAGCAGCGCGTCTCAGAACTACAGATGCTTGTCTCTGCCGTAACACAAACCCCAGCCACACCATCGGCTCACAAAGACTTCAAAGTGCCCAGACTGCAGCATGTCCAGCTGCCCCTCCTGGACCTTGCTTCAAGTGTTGGAAACCTGGCCACTGGACCAAGGATGCCCGTAGTCCTGAATTCCTCCTAAGCCCTGCCCCATCTGTGCGGGGCCCCCACAGAAAGTCAACTGTCTGACTCCTGTCGCTGCTCCTAGAGCTCCTAAAGCTCCAATCCTCGGCTTGGCAGCTAAAGACTAACGCTGCCCGAGCATCTCCGAAGCCCCCTGAACCATCACAGAGGCCAAACTTCGGGTAACTCTTACGGTGGAGGGCAAGTCCATCCCCTTCTTAATCAACATGGAGGCCACCCACCCCACACTGCCTTCTTTTCAAGGACCTGTCTCCTTGGCCTCCATAACTGTTGTGGGAATTAAGGGCGAGGCCTCCAGACCTCTCAAAACTCCCCAGGTCTGGTGTCAATTAGGCCAGCACTCCTTTCCACATTCTTTCGTAATCATCCCCTTATCCAGTTCCCCTGTTAGGCCGGGATATCCTAGTAAAATTGTCTGTCTCCTTCAGTATTCCTGGGCTACAGCCACATCTCATTGCCACCCTCCTCCTTGAATCCGTACCTCCCTCCATGCTCCCCTTATGTCCCCCTACCTTAATCCTAGGGTGTAGAACACTGCCTTCCCTTCCATTGCTACAAGTCACTCATCCCTCATCAACCCCTTTAAACCTAACCACCCTTACCCTGCCCAGCGCCAGTCCCCCATCCCACAACAGGCTTTAAAAGGTGTAAAGCCTGTTATCACCTGTCTATTGCAACATAGCCTTTTAATTCACCCTCCTGCTTCTTCAGCATTTATACTCCAAGGGGTATCATGTATTCCCTTCCAAAGCCCAAATTTCTTCCCCTATCCTAGCTGTCCAAAAAGCCAGACAAACTCTACAGACTAGTTCAAGAACTCTGCCTCATCAATCAGATTGTAATTCCCATCCACTTGGTTATACCAAATCCCTATACCCTCCTATCTTCCATACCCCCTTCCACAACTCATTCTTTTGTTCTTAACCTCAAAAATGCTTTTTCTAAAGCCCAAATTTCTTCCCCATCTGTTATAATCTTTCGCCAGTATACACACACCCTCCCTGCCAATGGTATACAGTTAATTTCCCAAACCCCAACCCCATCCACTAAATAACAGCTCATCTCCTTCCTAGGCGTTGTAGGATACTTTCGCCTCTGGATGCCAGGTTTTTGTCCCTGTAACCAAACCGCTTTATGAACCTACGAATGGAAACTTAGCTAACTCCATAAACCAAAAATCCTTTCCCCATTCTTCCTTTTGGTCGCTAAAGAAGGCCTTAGAGACAGCCCCTGCACTAGCGCTCTCCAACCCCTCTCAACCCTTCTCTTTCTACACAGCAGAAATAAAAGGCTGTGCCATTGGAATTTTTACACAGGAGCCAGGCCCACAGCCTGTGGCCTTTTCATCCAAACAGCTTAACCTGACAGTCCTGGGCTGGCCCTCATAACTACGCACGGCAACAGCTGTTGCTCTAATACTCTTAAAATCCCTAAAAACTGGCCAGGCGCGGTGGCTCACGCCTATAATCCCAGCACTTTGGGAGGCCGAGGCAGGTGGATCACGAGGTCAAGAGATCGAGACCATCCTGGTCAACATAGTGAAACCCCGTCTCTACTAAAATTACAAAAAAATTTGCTGAGCATGGTGACGCACTCCTGTAGTCCCAGATACTTGGGAGGCTGAGGCAGAAGAATTGCTTGAACCCAGGAGGCTGAGGTTGCGGTGAGCCGAGATCGCGCCATTGCACTCCAGCCTGGGTAACGAGAGCGAAACTCCTTCTCAAAAAAAAGAAAAAAAAAAATCCCTCAAAACCACAGGCTATGTCCCACTTACCCTCTACAGCTCTCGCAACCTCCAAAGTTTTCTCTTTACACTTTATACACTTACTTTCAGCCCCTCACCTTCTCCAGCTTTATGCAGTTGCCCCTACTACTTAAATAATACCTCAAAAATTCTGTTTCTATTATTTTCTGTCTAACTGTAATCACTGTACTCATTTACTTTTACATGCCCTGCTTTTAAGTTGCTGGTTTACAGTTTTCCTCCAGGCAATTACAGCTAATATTTCACTCTTAATCTGGCTCCCATTCTCGGCTCATACTCAATCTTGTTAATAAAAGTGAGTGCTTGCTTATACATACCACACACACACTTCCTCATACACCATGAAAACAAAAGCTCTCCCTCCACAGTTACCCTACCAGGCTCCGCTACAACCTTTAACAGCTGCAGCCCTTGCTGGTTCCTTTGGCATTTGGGTCCAAAGAGCCAGCCCCCTCAGAACACTTTCTCACCTTTTGAGTTTACACTTCCAGTTCTAAGCCAAGAACCGTTTTTTTTTCCTCTGTGGTTCTTCTTCTTACATCTGCCTTCCTACCAACTGGACAGGCACTTGTACCCTAGTTTTCCTTACTCCCAAAATTCAGTTTGCCAACAGGGACAAAGGCCTCCCTGTTCCCTTTGTGGTCCAGACACAACACAAGCGGGTCATTCTATTCATGCCCTTACTTGTAGGGTTAAGAATTACTGCACTAGGCACAGGCATTTCCACTTCAATTGGCACCTACCGTAGCCTCTCTAATAATTTCTCCACCAGCTTTGAAGAATTAACTCAATTATCATCCCTCCTTCAAGCTCAAGTAAATTCCCTAGCTGTAGTTGTCCTTCAAAACCGCAGAGGTCTTAATTTACTGACTGCTAAAAAAGGTCTTTGCCTATTCCTAAATGAAGAATGTTGTTTTTATGTAAACGAGCCTGGCCTTGTATGTAATGCCATCAGTAAATTAAAAAACAAAGCCCAAAAGCTCACTAATCAGGCAAATGGTTATTCTGGACCCGGCTGGACTGGCTGGACACTCCCTTACTGGGAGTCACAGCTTCTTCCAATCCTTAGTCCTCTAATACTATCTCCTTCTCTTATTTGGACACTGTGTTTTTCCAATTAATCTCTCAATTCCTACAAAATTGTATATAAGCAATAACCAATCAGTCAATACAACAAATGCGCCTTCTAACAACCCCACAACATCACCCCTTTCCCCGAGATCTCCTAGCATCTAAATTCTTTCCCAATTTTAGGTTTCCACGATGCCCTCAATCACACACAAAGTAGCCTTGAAAATCTCTGCCCCAAAACCTATTATCACCCCCTCTTCTCTAATTATTTCTCTCTCTCTATAAAAAGACCGGTATGTCAGGCCTCCATGTGCAAGCCCGGACTCAGAAAGTCTGAAGTCCTGCCTGCCTCGGTTGATCACCCCCTCACCCGCTAACCTGTGTTAGCCATTATCCCTGATAGCCCAGAGGAGCCAGTTAAGATGGCTCACCCCACCCTGCCATCTTAACTGTTATTATGATAATGTAAATACTCTCTACCCGACCCTACCACCTTAACTACTTACCCCACTCGCCATTGTAACTGAACTTACGGTAATGTATATTCCTTACCCCTACCCCCACCACTGTAGCGAATGCTACTCTGTAAGTTTCCACTGCCCACCCCAAATCTATAAAAGCAACTCCTATCCCACTGCCCTTCGCTAACGCCCTTTTTGGCCTTAGCCCACCTGCACCCAGGTAAATAAACAGCCATGTTGCTCACACAAAGCCTGTTTGGGGGGTTTCTTCATTCAAAGCATGCATTTTAACAGCTCAGAATAAATCTCTTCAAATTACAGAGTTTGACTCCTTTAGTTGACATCTAGAAATGTTAGGTTTAGTCACAGACTAAATAAGAATAGGACACTTAAAGCAGCCATATTTTAAAATCATCTAGAAATCCAATAGGGGCTATATTTAACCAAACATTTTAAAGTGCCATTTTAAAGCAAAATCACATCAAGTTGAGTTTCAAACAGGATCACCACTACCACTGATTTTTCATTATCCAGGCTTCACTTCAACTATTAGTCTTGCCTTATTTGTGTTCTAGTCTCCCCTTTTTGTCTTGCTGTGTGGCTTCTGATTGCATATACAGTATTTACTAATTTTCACTCAGTTACAGAGAATGAAGAGCAAAAGCTACAATGAGATGAACATTGCTTATTAATTATGATCATAAAGCTTTGATGGAAGAAGAGGTTGGGCCTAATGTCCCAAATAAGACTGTGGCACCAGTCCTGTGAGTGTATCATACAGGCAGCCATTAGCAGGGAACACCAATTGCTGGCTGTGTCCTATTTTTGTATTCATATCTAACAGTATGCATAATTCTGACCCCCAACTCTTAAACTATATGAAGATTTAAAGACTTAGTTATTTTCTAAAACTGTAAGATTATTAAAGTGCAGTTCATATAAATAAGAAGAACTGAGAGACGCTTGTTATGAAAGATCTTCGTTTCAGTGTTGGGCAGTCTATTTCCTACCACACTGCTACTCACCTTATTCCTTGTTCTGTAAATGGCACTGGTCCACAAATGCAGACAAGAACTCTGGATTTGTCCAAATTTCTTTTCAAAAATTCAGAAAGAAGCGCTGGTGAAATATGTCCCTGTTTGCCATTCCATTCAGAAGTAGGTGCTGAGAGAACAAATTCAACATCCAGTCTAAGGAAGAGAAAAACAGTTTTTTTAAAGTTTATTATTTTAAACGAATTACTAACATGTTTCAAGTTCAAGAATATAATTCTCCCCTAAAAGAACAATTTAATATATAAAGACTGACACACTTGCTAGAAAACCACTTGAAAAACATTGTAAGACTTAACAAAAACATATAGGTAAATCTATATTTATTAAGGATTATTTTTTCCTGTAGATAAGGAATGCAATTTGGCATTTTAAAAAATTGAACTAATTAAAAAGAGAGCTCTGGCCAAGCATGGTAGCTCACACCTGTAATCCCAGCACGCTGGGAGGCCAAGGCAGGAAGAATATTTGAGAAAAAGAGTTTGAGACCAGCCTGGGCAACATAGTGAGACCCAGTTTCCACATGGACACAAAAATTGTTTAAATTTAGTCAGGTGTGGTGGCATGTGCCTGTGGTCCTAGCTATTTGGGAGGCTGGGGCAGGAGGATCGTTTGAGTCCAAGAGTTCAAGGCTGCAGTGAGCTATGACTGCACCAGCCTGGGCAGCAGAGCAAGAACTTGTCTCTTAAAAAAAAATTAATTTGGCTGGGCGCGGTGGCTCATACCTGTAACCCTAGCACTCTGGCAGGCCAAGGTGGGCGGATCATGAGGTCATGAGTTCAAGACCAGCCTGGCCAACATGGTGAAACCCATCTCTACTAAAGACACAAAAAATTAGCCAGGCATAATAGCATGAGCCTGTAATCCCAGCTACTTGGTAGACTCAGGCAGGAGAATGAACCTGGGAGGTGGAGGTTGCAGTAAGCTGAGATTGTGCCATTGCACTCCAGCCTGGGGGACAGGGTGAGACTCCATCTCAAAAAAAAAAAAATTAGAAATAAATATATAAATGAAATAGATATTCCAAGGGATCTCAGAGAACTCCACATTTCTATTAATAATCTACTGGTATTGGAAAAAAAGAACAAATATTGCATGTTCTCACTTATAAGTAGGAGCTAAACTCTGTGTACACAAGATCATAAAAATGAGAACAACAGACGCTGGGGACTCCAAAAGCAGGGAGGTGCAGGGAAATGGGGAGGGCTGAAAAGCCTCCTATTGGGTACTTTGTTCACTGTGTATGTGACAGGATTAATAGAAACCCAAATTTCAGCATCACACAATATACCCTTGAAACAAATCTGCACATGTACCCCTTAACCCAAAATAAACAATAATAAAACGCTGGTATAAATCACAGTAAATAGCAATTACGAGTGACACATTTTAATCTCTGGCTCAAACCTCTCCAATGATTTCCAAACCCTTAAAACCAGTTTGATTGAGAAGCCTATTTGACTTCTTACTGTCGCTGTCTCAAAGTCTCTCAACTTCATGATCTCCGTAACTGGCACCAGTCTGCTTGATTGTACAAGCTAGACACCTGGGATTTATCCTGGGACCCTCTTTCTATCTCACCCTCCATATCCAATTCAACACCAAGTCCTGGCTCTCACTCTGTTTACCTCTCAGACTTCACTGCCATAAGACTGCCTGTTCTATTTCTTCTTTCTGTAATGGGTTTACCACTCCCACCCTTCAGTTTTCAGCTCAAGCATCATTTCCACATGCAAGTACTGCACCTCCACAAGGCTGAGGCCTTTGTTTCATGTGCTGTAGCAATGTTTTCCTTTTCCTTTTCTTCATGCCATTTACTTCAGGTTGTAAATAAGTGGTCACTAAGCTTATCATCTATTGTCTACCTTCTCCAATAGACCCTAAACTCCATGAGAACAAGGGCCATGTCTGCTTTGGCTATCACTGTATCCCTAGAGGCCAACACACAGAAGGCACCCATACACTACGGAATGAAAGAGATGAAAGCAAAAGGGTACAGGATTAAAATGGGAAAGAAGAACATCAAAGTCTCACAATGAAACAACAGACCATTTCTTCCCACAGGCTTAGTAATCTATTACAAAAATTGCTGGTGAAAAGCCATAGTAAATTCAAAATTCTATGTTGTACCTGCTCTGTCTGCTCTGTTTAAGCAAACAATTAATTCTGACCATTTCAATAGCATCAGATCAAAAGCATTTCTACATGTTCCAGTGAGTAAGTGAGTAGCAGGAATTCATGATACATTAATTTAAACCACATGAAAAAGCTGAAGTGAACAGTTTCTCTTGTGAGGGACAAGGGAACTAAATATTGAAACAGAAACAAGGTATGGTTGGTACAGCTGCCCTCACATTGCTGTGCCTCAGCAGGATTAAGTTTCCCAAGAACAAAGAAGCCTGGCACAAGCAGTACAGACCAAAGAAGAGCAGGAGCAGGAGGCTAGAGAGCCAGCCTCAGCTCTGCACACACTCTCCAGTCTCTAGGGAGTATCCATTTGTGGAATGAGGTTGGGAAATAAGTAATATCTTACAATTCTAATATTCTATGATTTTATATTAAAACACCTACAGAATTATGTTTTCTTATCTTCAATCTTCCCATTTAGTATTAGTAGCAATGTGAATCCACTCTATAGTCTCCCTAAAGGCTAATGCACAAAACAGCCTCCCCAAAGATATTCACTAACCTATTTTTACCTTCTGAGCACTTAAAACTAAGATAGTTTTAAATAACGTCAGGATGTGGTATTTGCTCACTGCTCCATGAGGGCAGGGTGCTTGTCTGTTTTGTTCAATACTGTATCCAGGCCTCGTTCAATTAAGCACACAAAAAAATGCTTGTTGAATAAAGAAGTATATTTATAAAGACGCCATGTTGGCTAAAAATAAAAATTGTACTTAAAAGAACAAAGCCATGTGCTGGCATCCATAAAATTGCATATAAAAATGCTATGAATTCATATGTGTATTTTTCTGGAAAAAAGATCCATAATCTTTCTTTCATCAGATCAAAAGGCCAAAAGCAGCCATAAAACCAGTGTCATAAATTTCCAATTACACATAGATATTTGAATAAAATGTGGAAATTGTCTTGTTAAATTAAAATATAAAAGATGGTCTCCTGTGGCTCTATTTGAAATGAGCCTATCACTGGAATAAACTGCTAAATTAATGCTGAAGTCTCTGTAGTCTGCCATAAGCACCTAGTCATAATTTTCCTTTACTGGTGCTTTATAAAAAAGCCTAATCAGTGGTATATTTTCTGTAGGTATCTACTAAATGGTGATAAATAACAGATCCTTACATAAATGGTATAAACTTCTTATGCATTTTGTATTTATTCGCATAAGGGTCCCTTGACTATAATTTTACGCACTCAATGGAAAAGGTGAACAGAAAGTGTGGCTGTAAATTAAGGATTTGTAAAGAGGCTGTTATCTTGCTTATCTCCTTTTTCATAGGCTGAGAAAGAGCTTAAATTGGAACAGGAGCATTCACAAGTTAAGACTCAATAATTCTTTAATGAAATATTTTTTATATCAAAATATAGATAGTTCCTGTGGAATCCTCTCTCCCGGGTTTTCTGAATGAAGGTCAACATACTGTCTAAAATAATTACAGCTTTGAGACGCTGGAGACGTGGGGGCACACAATAAACATCCTGAAATTCCTCTATAATTTCAAAAGTGCCAGAAGGCATTAGGACTCTTGAAAAGGTTACCTGAAAATAAATTCAGATAACCCATAAAATGCAAAATAACATGAAAGAGGGAGAGAACAGACCTGCTTCTGATGAATGTGATCTCAAATGTAACTATAGGTAAATAAGTTTGTCAAAAAATTTATTTTAAAGTAGGCTGATAGTGATCTGAGATGACAAGTCTTGAAATACAAATGTACTCATTTAGTCTAAATTATTAGCAGTCATCCAACGACTTATTCCCTCCTCCTCTAGCCAATCAACTTCTGCAACTTATCTCCTTCATATTTCTCACAAAGTCCCTTACCTGCCCATTTTTACTGTCACAACTCCAGATCCGGCTCTTATATCTCTTGTCTAAAATATTACATTAATAGGCTTAACCTTAATCTATTTGATATGCTATTGCCATATTAGTTCCCCTAAAAACTCTGATACAACTTTGCAACATTTTTGCTTAAAAGCTTCAGTGATTCCTCACTGTTCACAGATTAGTATTTCAGAGTACTTGGGCCCCAGCTTTTCCTTCTTTATTTTCTAGCTAAAGAAAATGCCTGCAACTACAGTAAAAGTTGCTATGTGCTCACAGACAAAAACGCTCACAAAACTAGGAGTCAAAATTAGATAAAACATACATAATTCTGGAAATATTTCTCAAAATGAATCTAATGAAACACTTGTATGCCTCCAGATGTTAGTAGTTATTCCATGAAAGCAGACTAACTATCAAATAAGTCTGTGACATAGTGGATTAAAAAAAGTTAAATATATTTTGTTAGAATATAAGAAAGGCTTAAATATGCTAAGTTCAGAGTAAATCCTGAAGAAGAAATACACTATTTCCCAAATTTATTCAATCATAGAGTCCATTCAGGGAAACACATTAACGTTTCAAAGAACACATTCCAAGCAACATAACACCGAAGAGCATCTCCTGGAACAAACAGAATGTGCTGTAAGGGTCCAGATTAGTGGGCTGCATATCTGTGTGCGTAAGAGGCTGGGGAAAAAGAAACCAGTTCAGGCATACTGTTCAATTTATTTCTGCTTCTGGCATCAACGGCTTTTGCTATCTTAAATGGAACTGCCACGTTGCTAGTCCCACTACTGACAACAGAAGACAAAAACATATAGTCCAGGGAGCCTGTCAGCACTACAGGAAGATGAGGAGGGGCAGAGTGTCACTGTGCCTTCTTCCTATGCCTATCTGACATATAATATTTACTTCACATATGAATTACATTCAAGGTCTTCAATCACCTGATTTTAGCCTATCTTGTTTCTTCAAGTGTAAACAAAAAGGGATAGAAATAACTACTAAGATTCCTTCTAAAACTGATACAAAGTTTAATGGGTTTATTTTTAGTTATTCTGCATCATCCTCCTTCAGGCACAGCATTTATTTCAACAAAAGGACTCTGCTCTGTTACTAAAACACCAGAATGTCCTGGCTCTCATGTCTTTACTCATGCAATCCCACTACTCAAATTTATTTTCCCACTCAAAGAAATGCTAGTGATTTCCCAAAGCCCAGCTCAAAAACCCCTTCTTCCATGAAGCTCTGATATTCCTATCCTCACAGCAATGAGATTACTCTTTTCACTAGGTATCTATGGTATGCTTTTTGTTCCTCTCAAGGCACAGACTTCACAGTTACTGATATACTTCAGAACTTCACCACCACTAGGATAGTCTGCTTTCTTATATTTTTGTAATGTCAAGCGCATTTTGCAGATAGCACACAAATGTTTAAAGAGATATAAATGGTCTTTTATCTTCTGTTGGTACATATAAGTGGGTAAATTGTCCCCTTTCCTTTGTGACCCATTTCCTTGCTGCTTAGAATCCCTTTCTTTCCTCTCTCTCTTTTGCCTCAACTAACCTCCCATTCCACTCTAGTGTAAAAATAATGACACTAACAATATCATTGTTAATAACATTGTCAGTATTAATGTCACTGTCGATGACAATGTGCTGGATGCAGTATTCTCTGTTAAGTGACTTAACTTTCAGAGGCTGTGTGTCACAATATAACATGCTAGAGAAGATCAGGAGAAATAGGAATGCTTTTACACTGTTGGTGGGAGTGGAAATTACTTCAACCATTGTGGAAGACAGTGTGGCAATTCCTCAAGGATCTAGAACCAGAAATATCATTTGACCCAGCAATCCCATTACTGGGTATGTACTCAAAGAATTATAAATCATTCTACTGTAAGACACATGTGCATGTATGTTTATTGCAGCACTATTCACAATAGCAAAGACTTGGAACCAACCCAAACGCCCATCAATGATAGACTAGATAAAGAAAATGTGGCACATATACACCACAGAATACTATGCAGCCATAAAAAAGAATGCATTCATTTCCTTTGCAAGGACACAGATGAAGCTGGAAACTATCATTCTCAGCAAACTAACACAGGAACAGAAAACCAAACACTGCATGTTCTCACTCATAAGTGGGAGTCAATCAATGAGAACACATGGACACAGGGAGGGGAACATCACTTACTGGGGCCTGTAGGGGGTTGGGAGGCAAATGGAGGGATAGCATTAGGAGAAATACCTAATGTAGATGATGGGTTGATGGGTGCAGCAAACCACCATGGCATATGTATACCTATATAACAAACTATCATGTTCTGCACATGTATCCCAGAACTTAAAGTATAATAATAATAAAATGTTATCAACAGCCTTAGAACTTTGACCTAATGATTCGTCTGATATATTTTTATTCTGAAGAGTTAGAAAGGTACTGAACAATTTCTAGTCACTATGTCAAATAGTATGGAATTGGCTAAATCAATTATGGTATGCTCACATGACTGAACACAATGAAGTTATTAAAAATCACAGTATATTGCAGGATTTACTAACTGGCACTACTAGCACTTCGGGTGGATAATTCTTTGTTGTAGGGGGGCTGTCCTGAGCATTGTAAGATACTTTGTAGCATTCCTGGCCTCTACCAACCAGGCGTAGTAACTCCTTTTTCCCCAGTTGTAACAATCAAAAATGTCTCCAGACATAAATGTTTCTGCGGTGGCAGAGCTGCTCTAGATTGAAAACCACCTGTTGAAAATACTCTTTATGTAAAAAACACACAATACAGTAAGTAGAAACGTAGTTAAAAGGATAGTCAGTCTGACTACATTATTTTAAATATAAAAAACAAAAAGGTAGATATGTATATGAATAGAAAGATACAGTCCATAATGTTAATAATTGTTCTTTGGGTGGTAGGATTATGGGTGATTTTTTTCTTACACCTTTTCTATATAAACATGTATTAATTTTATAGACAGAAGGGAAAATCAACAAATGCTGTTTATAATGTTCTACTACCTTTACTAAAATAAGGTTAATGGTCTCTAAGAATGATTGATTTGAAATGAAAGGAAAATACCTGTTATATTTATATACCAGAAAATGTTTTCTAGAAGTCAGCCTCATTGTCAAACTGTCCCACCTGTCCCATCCCACAAAACTAATTCTACAAAAGCAGAGATCTCACAGAGCTAGGGCATTCTGCTGATAGGAGTGAGGGGTGATGGGCAATGTGTGCTGAATGAACTGAGCCTCATAACACTGCTCACATACTTGAGAGAAGGGTAAGTGGCATTTATTTTGGATTTCAGTTTACATAATTAAATCCGCTACTGCACATATTTGCCTTCTTTCTCTCATTTTTCATAAGAAAAAAATGTGTAAGGTTTTGCTAGACTTGGAATGTTGTGAATTGAATCCCAAGTGCCTTAAATGCTAACTAAAAGACAGTTGTGACTAATTAAAATGACCCCAACTTAAATGTTAACTTTCACTTTCCTATTTTGTAGGGAACACAATAATTATGTGTTGGCTGACGACGACTATCAAATCCCATCAATAAGCCTTTAAGGGCTTGACCTAACCTCATTCCGAAAAAAACCATGAGTCTATGGGGATCATAAATCACACAATACTAGGAGTCAGTGCCTCCAGAGTGTCTCAAGCAAGGAAAGCAAAGTCTCCAGAAACAGGTTAGGGAGGAGAGAGAAAGAGCACACACTAGCCAGCAAGGGAGAGAAAGAAGAGAAAGAGAAGGAACAGTAGAGGGAGGATAAAGGCAGGCCGGAAGTTGGAACACTATCACTTCTCTCAGCAAGCTTGAGAGTGCCACTCAGCCAGTGAGTGCTGTTAGAGCCAGGCATTCAGAAGTGAAAAAAAAGCGGCCTTTCTTCATCCTCAAAACTGCAGCCTATGCAATTTCACAAACCCAAATTAAGTAATCAAAACAAAACAAACCAAATAACACAGTTGACTTTGTTAAAGATACTTTAAGTTCAGAGACTGTCAATACATTCCTTTTTACCAATTAATTTATAAATCAAGTTGAAGTCCTATTAGTACAATGTCTATTCTTAAAAAAAAAAAAATTTTACAAAATTTCTTTTTTTTCTTTTTTTTTTTTTTTTTAAAGACAAGGTTTCACCGTATTGGTCAGGCTGGTCTTCACTGTATTGGTCAGTGAAACCCAACTCACCATAAATCACATAATATGATCATAAAGCCCAATATACATCTTAATGACACATATATAATGTTGCCTAGATTTTATCAGAAAGTGTTTCTTTGAGAGAAGAAGAACATTTGATATGATTTACAGTTAGAGAATTATTGGGTTTATTTTTTTTCTTTGAAGGAGCTTCCTGGCCAATCAAAACTCCAACCAGAGAAGATAAGTCCTAGACTTTTAAATTAAATTAAATTAAATTTTATTGCACTTTAGGTTCTGGGGTACATGTGCAAAACATGAAGAATTGTTGCATAGGTACATATATGACAATGTAGTTTGTTGCCTCTATCCCTGTCACCTGTATCTGGCATTTCTCCCCATGTTAACCCTCCCAAACTCCCCACCCCACACTGTCCCTCCCCTAGTCCCCAGGCCTAGACTTACTTCATAAATAACTAAATGCAGAGTTAATAACAGTTTAATACCTTTTATCTTTAAATGCTAATTTCTCCAATTGGCTTCTCCAAATTATATCATCCTCTGTTTTATTGAAGAACATCAGCTTCACTTTCCTTAAAAGAAAAAAAAAAACTCAGAAAGAACTAATTAATTACATTTAAAATATGAGAAATGGAAAGTCTAAAGTGAACCAGTGTGAATGTTTTAGTGCCCAGTAGGTAACTACAATCATCAAACACTGAAATGAGATAAAAGAACCTAGTTAAATAGCTAGGATTAGAGGAGGGAAAGTAAGAAATGATGAATGAGGAAATGGGAATATGTCTATTAAGATCCAGCGAGTAATCAGTTTAGAATAACTTATACTAATATAACAGCCTCAAAAAGGAAAATTAGAGACAAAATTACATACCTGAGAGTGGGTATACCTGTCAAAGCATAATTCAGTATTTTAACCATTGGTGTGAAGCCTGTTCCAGCTGCCAACAAAAAGAGATCCTCTAATTCTTGAAATTCGGATATTTTAAAAGTGCCCTCAGGACTGCTCATAGAAACAAAATCTCCTAAACAATGAAATATAAACTACATCAGAAAAAAACAAAAACAAAACAAAAAACCCAGCAGAGAAACTAAGAAGCCAAAATTACCTGAATTTACAACACTGAGGAGTAACAATATACAAACTTAACGTGCAAACTATGTATCAGTCTTTAAGTAGTCTTAAGGATACTCGTTAGGCCCCCAAGTACATCTGAATTATATCATTATAATCAAACTAATAATGAGGTTTTATGATGTAATTTCCCACCACTATTTTCCCAAACCATCTGAAGTCTGAAATTTACAAACTACTGCAAAGTACTTATCCACAAATTATCAATAAATGATTGATTGCTAAACTAAATTTTAAGTACTTTAAAAGCAGAGTACATATATATCTGTCTTGCATGGTAAAGAACAAAGAATAGATATTCACTATTTACATATGATTCTTAACCATAGTAAAAGGTTAGTAGGAGAGAAAATTGAAATAGAAATATATTCTAAAAACTTATGTTGACAAACACATCAACTTCTCTTCTACCAAATTTTTAAAAAGACCCATTAATTTAGAAGGGCTGTTCTGATTTTAATTCCCATAAAAACAAAGCAAGATCAGAAATGCAGTCAACTGTACTTGGAGCATGCCACTTTCCAATCTAGAATCAACACAGTAGAGAAATCAGTGCCCATTTTCTACAGTCCAGTTGATATAATCACCATGTACCATTCATATAAGAAAACCACCTTTACAACTAGATTAACAAACTTGAAATGTAATCTTAAAATGAAAAATAAATCTGTCTATAAATGATTTATCCTATTTTAAAATGCTTGGGTGCTTATAACTTTTTCTTTGTTTTCCATTGCAGGATAGTAAGAATCTTGCAGTAACTGATGAAATAAGTATTTGAAAATAATAGAATCTTCTTGTTATAATTTGTAAAAGACTGTAAGATCAGAGTGTCCTTAGGAAAAAGCCAGATAGTTGTTTACTAAAGAAGTATCAGAGGACAGTATTAACTTGGTAACTTTTACCCACAGCCTAGTCTTTCCAATGTTAACAAAATTGATTAGACTCTGGTACGATAACTGATGCTAATCAAATTCAGAAGAGGTTATAGCACACATGCCAGAATGGCAATATATTTTGATTTATAGCTGGGGTTACATGTATCTAGTGACTTGAACATGTCCCATTAGGGATATCTTGTTTCCAGTATCAGGACACTTGAAAAGCCAAATTAATCATGTAAAATCATGTTGCTTAGTGAACATGGGATTGAAATAAAGAGATGGATAATTGTATGGGGTCATTCATTTAGTGTACAACTCTCTAAGTTGCTTTCACTTTCTAAACTCTAGGACAACTGTCCACCCTGCTATGTTCACAAAAATCTCTGTAAATAGGCTATAATACCATTCCTTAAGTTTCCACTCATTGTATTACAATCATGTGTCAGTCCTTCTTTCAGAAGGTGATAGTTATCTGCTCACTAGATTTGTAGGTACTCCAAAATACTTCAGGTTCAAATTCATATACAATATTTTGGTTTATGTAATCAAGGATGACTAATCATATCTACTATGTGAAGTAGATAAAATCAGCAAAATCATATCTATTAATACATTTCAGAAAGTAATGTAATTTTGTTGACTTCCAAATTTTAGTGATCCACTTCACTGTACCCCTATATACTGCTAATGCTGCCTTGGAAAGAGAAATACTTTCCACGGAAAGAGAAAAGAAAATACAGAAAAAGGAGTAAAAGACACCTTGGGAACAGAAGCAAGAAAAGAGGTTTTTAAATCTTAATAGATTTCATTATAGTTCTGTATTCATTCTTTCAAAGTACATTTACTGGCTGGGCATGGTGGCTCAGACCTGTGATCCCAGCACTTTGAGAGGCTGAGGCGGGCCAACCACCTAAGATTAGGAGTTTAAGACCAGCCTGGCCAACATAGTTAAACCTCATCTCTACTAAAAATACAAATATTAGCTGGCATGGTAGTGTGTGCCTATAGTCCTGGCTACTTGGGAGGCTGAGGCAGGAGAATCACTTGAACCCAGGAGACAGAGGTTGCAGTGAGCTGAGATCAAGCCACTGCACTCCAGCCTGGGTGGCTGAGCAGTCTCAAAAACAAAATAAACAAACAAAAAAACAAAGTACATTTACTGACAGCTTATTATGTACCAACTGCCTTGCCAGGCGTTGAAAATATAAAGATAAGTAAGGCCATTTCTGCTCTTAAACTCAAAGTCTTGTAATGAAGGAATATATTTACTCTTATAATAGAGCTATGAACAAACTGTTAGTTATTGGGGGTTTCAGGGGAGGAGGAGGGCTCCATAAAGTGATATTATGCTTGATTCTTTTTATTTTTATTTTTACCATTATTATGTTCTGAGACCGAGTCTTGCTCTGCCCAGGCTGGAGTGCAGTGGTGTGATCTTGGCTCACTGCAACCTCTGCCTCCTGGATTTAAGCAATTCTGGCTCAGCCTCCCAAATAGCTGGGACTATAGGTGCTTGCCACCAGGCCCAGTTAATTTTTGTATTTTTAGTAGAAATGAGGTTTTCCCCATGTTGGCCAGGCTAGTCTTGAACTCTCGACCTCAAGTGATCTGCCCACCTTGGCCTCCCAAAGTGTTGGGATTACAGGCATGAGCCACCGCACCCAGCAGATGTTGAGTCTTTTTAAAAAAGCGCTTGATAAGGGGTTGATGGGCATCTTGGGTGTGGAAACTGCATATACCTGTGTATGAGGATAACGAATCTGTGAAACTGTGAGTAGCACAAGTATTTTTGTATAGCAAGAGATGAAGCTAGAGAGATTATCAAAGTTTACATAGGCCATGCAGTATAGGTAATGGGGACCCATCAGAGGTTTCAAAGCTGCAAAGCAGCTAGGCTCAATTGTGACAAAATGGTTAGAAGCCAACAAAGAAATGATGAAGGCTTACTATATAGAGTGGCAAAAGAGGTAGCTGAAAAAGTCACTGAGATGTAGCCTCAACAGGACTTAGTGGCTGACTGGACTGGGAGAGAGAAAGTGGGAAGAATCAAGAGTCTCCAGAGGGGATCAAGATGAACAGTGATGATGCAAGTAATAAAAACAAGGAATATGGTGTATGGGCATGCTGGGCGGGACAAAGAGAAGATAACCTTGGTTGCAGACATGTTGAGTTAAAGATATTTGATAGGCTCCTACGTGGAGATAACTAGAGAGCAATTTGATCCAACCTACAGCACAAATGAGGTTTAAAAAAATGTAAAAACACTAACCAATCTGAAGACGATCAAGCTCTGGTGTGAAGAGTCCAGTGGGATAGATTTTTATCAAAAAGTAGACGTATTTATTGTTGGGAAGAACTGGTTCCTTGAACTCTGAGAATAAGGAACCAGATACAGGTGTATATGGCTTTACTATTTCTGTACCTAGAAAAAAAAAATCGTAACAAAAAATTAAATTCTAAAATTCAAAAAAATCTCTTAATGAAGATGAAACATACAAATTTCCTGATACTATCAGTATATATTTAAAACTATATATCTAATGGGTATATAATTCTAATGATTATTCTATATGTATATAGTATATATATGTATATATACCCCAAGTCTAATGTGCTGAAATAATTTTTACCAATCAATATTGTACCCATAATGTAAATGATCTGTTTTTATTATGTTTAGTCTAATCTAATAGAAATACATGGTAATAATTTTAGACAATCATCTATTCCATCAGCAAATAAACTTTGTAATGGGCCACAACAAAAATGGCATCAAAAGTTTACCATGGAGATGTAAAAAAAAAAAAAGTATTTACCTAACAATTTTGATTATACACCAAATTTTTTAAAATGGAAACTGATGACCAATGGGATCATTTGGAGGACAAAAAAGAAGAAATTTCACTTTTTACTTTATGTACTTTAAATGGTTTTAATATTTTAATGCATTATATATTACTTTGGTAACTGAATAAAAAGAATGTTAATCCAGCTACTTCTAAGAATATATTGATTTCTTTTTCTTTTTTTTTTTTGAGATGGAGTCTCATTCTGTCACCCACAATGGAGTACAATGGCATGATCTTGGCTCACTGCAACCACCGCCTCTTGGGTTCAAGCAATTCTCCCACCTCAGCCTCCCAAGTAGCTGGGATTACAGGCACCTGCCATCATGCCTGGCTAATTTTGTTATTTTTGTGGAGATGGGGTTTCACCATGTTGGCCAGGCTGGTCTTGAACTCCTCCTAACCTCAGGTGATCCTCTCGCCTCAACTTCCCAAAGTGTTGGGATTACAGGAGTGAGCCACTGAGCCCAGCCAAATATATTATTTTCTTAAAAAGCAAAATAAGTAAGAATTCATTTTATATTTTTAGGTAGCCAAATTCCAAAGAGAAGAATCACCACTGTTTAAAAGACCAAAATTTTATGCTTGGCTCATAAAATTACATAATACATATATAAATTAAAATGCAGTGGCAATAACTGGAGAAGATACCAGCTCTTGAATTAGGTAATCTGGCATTAGTGATGAAAAAGAGAAAACCTTAATAGTGCCCCATCATAATATATCGTATCTACAAAGACCCAGCTAGTAACATTTTAGACTCATTTCTGGAGATACTACAGCTGACAGGAGAAATTTACTGTTTGCAGCTTCAAAAGGCCAAGAAAATGTTGGGCATCAATAAGAAGGGTATTCAAAACAAGTGAGGTAAGAATTCATATTTATACATTTATAGAGCTTCTTATACTGGTAGCACATATAATAAAATCATTTCTCATCATTCACTCATTTTAAATTTTATAGATTCAACTTCATAAATGATACAATCCTAAGTAGCTACTAAAAGATGCCAGTATGAGCTTCTAGTAGTTGTCTTCATGGAGGACTGTTTGCGCAATCTCTCATCTCTTTCCTTTAGGGTTTTGTTAGTAGGAAATTACAATGCTGGTGGAACCATCTCTCTAAACTACTGGCAATATCTTTGTTCCATACGATAATGTGGTACAGCTATAGTTCCAACATGTAGGACATGTTCCAGTCACAAACCTAGATTCTGACTCTCACTAAATCTAGCTGCCTGGAAACACTTATTAATAACTTAAATGGTTCTTTTCTAGGGAGAATAGTACTGATTTTGAACTGCTTATAAAAGAGGAAAACATGTCCCAAAGCCTCTATTTACCTTACCTGTAATAGATAGCTTGAGGTAAACATGTTGCCCAATGGGCACTTGAAGATGAGTGCTTGGTGGCAGCATCAAACAGAAAAGCCTCGTATCATGAGTAACATCTTCCTTGGAAATTAACTGGCATTTTCTGTAGTACAAACCTAAAAAGTGATTCATTTTCTCTTACCGATACATAAATTAATAAGAGGTAATACTAAACCACTAAGAGAAAGCATACACTCAGCTTTTGTTTTCTAGAAAGCTTCAATTTCACTAAAATGCCTACACATTTTAAAAATTCATCAATAAGATTAAATTTTCCATTTTATTTCCTAAGATATTTGTTGTCCAAGACCTGTAAATACTTCTATAATTTGAAACATGAACTTTATGAGTGTTATTCCCTCATATCTGTTATTAGCATATTAAACCATTATGTTCTAAAAAATAACCTAATTTTATTTGATAATGAATAAATTTACATTCTAAAGTCTTTTTTTTTTTTTTTTTTTTTTTTTTTTTTTTTTTTTTTTTTTTTTTTTTTTTTTTTTTTTTTTTTTTAAAGACATAGGGTTTCACCATGTCTCCCAGGCTGGTGTCAAATTCCTGGACTCAAGCAATCCACCTGGCTCGGCTTCCCAAAGTGCTAAGATTATAGTTGTGAGCCACTGTACATTCTCAAGTCTTTTCTTACACAATGGAAAAGTCCTGAAACTAAAGCCTTTAAGGTTTAACAATAATAGTACTATTAAACAATTTTAGAAGATCTCTTTGACAAAGGCAAGAAAAATATACATTCTTGTGTCTCTATGCTTCTATGTATGCATTACAGATATGATCAGAGAACATTTTAAAAATGATTGAAACAAAAACTTCTATGCTGGAAGGTGTAGATTTTGGTATCTGGAAAATTAATTCAAGTGAAAAGCTTCAGATGCTAGGATTAGGACTATGGTACTAATATACAAGTAGATAAAAGGAATCAAATATTTCAATAAATACTAGAAAAATTTGAAATTAATATCCCAAGCTCAGAAAATATTGTTTGTATACAGAGTAAATAATACCATTCGAATTAGAAGAATTATAGAAGTTCTGAAAGAATTAAGAGTTTCACTTGTAAATTCTCTTTGAACATAAACTGCATATCAGAGTAATGTGAAGATATTAACTTTTTATTTCCTCTCTCCTTAAATAGTATTTACATAGATGTAAAGGAATGAACCCTGATACCACATTTCTTATTCTAGTTATTCTCTCTTTTTTAACCCAAAAATATTCAAGTAGGTGCAGAAATATTTTCTCCAGATCTTAGAAAATGAAGGTCCCACAGCTAATAATCAGTGCTTAGTGGGAAACTGAAATTCACATATAATCTTAAGAAAACATTTTAGCCACATGTGAATCCAACTTCCCTTTTCCCTTTTGCTCCCCACAGATCAGTTACTCAATTTTCCACCTGCTATCATGGTAGCAGTAAGTACATAAGCTTCAAGTACATCATTTCATGCAAAGACCTTGGAGTGCCACTAGAGGTCATCTCACTCTAGTGCCAGGGCACAGGCTTGTACCAGATTATGGCTAAGAGCCCACTCTAAAGTTATCCTGGAAGGCCTAACAAGTACTGGACTAACTAAAGGGTCAAAAGACATAGGCCCATGCACAAGGAGAAATGAAGGTGCAAATGATCTCTTTATTTCTTTTTCCAGACCCTTTCTACATCCCACAGTAAGAATACAACTAGAGACCCACATACTATATACCTATAAATACTTGACAGTTATAAATCTGACAAATAATTGTCAAAGTATGTTCTATGCTCTATCTTGAAATATATACTTTCACAGGGTCCTAGAAGGCTAGGTTCAAATTCAGGATTCTTAAACTCCTCAGAGTATCAGCAAGATGAGAGAGGAATGAGAGACCTGAACTCCCACTGCCTGCCTACCTTGTCTTCTTGTTCTTGGCTCTCTGACAATGACGAGGGGCTCAAATGGGTATGGACACATTAACCCACAGGCTCAAGCTCATGCACTAGCTTTCCACATAAACAGCCCTGGCCACTCCTTGGATAGAAGTAGATTTGGGATCATTTGGGCAGGGAATTCCACACTCTAGATACCTGGAGTGTGAAGTTGAAAGAAACAGAATGAGCTCCAGGTGGATACTTCATGGCCTTGCAATACTCCTCATCTTGTGGGAGGGGAGTAGCTGGAGATAGTCACATAGGGCTCTCCATGTGTGGAACCCAGTGAAGGTGCCCCTCTTGCCCAGGTCTAAGGGCCATAGTGTTTTCCTCTAATAAAATCTAGTGCATATCATCTTGATAACTTTACAACTGGATGAAAATGCTCACCTTCTGGATTGACAATTTCTACTCTAGTATTTGCTAGAAAAGTTTGCTATAGTAAGTATGCAACTCTACAACCATATTTAAAACACAAGGAAATCCTGGGTTACAGTGATTTACTGACTTTCCTTGTTAGAGAGTTGACACAGCATTCTTGTTATTTAACATTACTGAGATAATTTCAATATTTTACCCATAATTTCAAAAGAGCATCCTAACTATAGGTTCTAAGAGTTTTAACAAAGATTTAAGGACGTTTTCATGGTTCAATTGCATCAAGGAGAAAGATAGCTCAGACAGATGGGAACTGCAGCATATGAGAAAAAAAAGTATAAAGCAGATGGCACTGACTACTTCAGTCTGCACAATGCCATTATTTAACGGTTGGGTTTTTGCCTTTCTAAGCACAGATAATTATAAGAGAAATGAGAAACTGAAAATAAAGACAGTAAAACAGAAACATAAGACAGAAATATTACTGTCCTAAATGCCTAATCTATTTGAATTAAACACATACAATTAATACTGAGATACTCAGGGTAAGGTGGAAACACTGAGGATAACATGACTATTTGGACATGCTCTTTTCTTAATGTTAAAAAAAACTGTACTTTCCTTTCTAAAAAACAGAATTTCACAAGGCAAAAATAGAAAACACAGGCAAACTCTTTAACGGAAGACAGAAGAGAAAGAGAAGACTGGACTAGGAGTTCCCACTGCCTTCAACTGGCTTCTCTTTCTTGCACTTAGTACACTTTTAAAGCACTTGCTCTTATTTTCCCTGCTGGAAACAGAAGCTTATAGAGGTTAAAAAGCTTGTCCAACATCTCAGGGAAGCCAGAAAAGATGTGGGATGGAGTATGAAACTATTAGGGTTTCCTGCCCAACTCAGTAGGCCTTGTTTAGAAAGTTTGAGAACATGGTTAGTAATTATCAGTAGTAGCCAATCACTGTAGCCAAGTTATGGATGCAATGGAAACGCTCTTGAAGGAAATTAAAAGTGCTACTTTAGTGAGGACATGAATCACATAAAAAAGTGAAATAGCCTTATTGGTGATATGCAGAAAGTCTGAGTGGTCTGCAGATGAAACTAGCCAGAACATTGCCTTAAGCCAAAAACCTGATCCAGAGCAAGGTCCTAACTCTTCAATTCTAGAAGAGCTAAGAGAAGTGAGAAAGTTGCAGAAGAAAAGTTGAAAGCTAGAAGAGGCTGATCTACGAGGTTTAAGGAAAGAAGCCACCTTCATGACACGTATCTCTACCAGAGTTCTTGGGTAACTAGGTGCATTGTCAATGAATGGTAATAATTTGAAAGGAATCTTTCTTTCCATATAGTAAGTCTCAACAGTGGGCTTCAAATATAGAAGACTCACCATTCCAGATGCCATTAAAAACATTTGAGATTTATGGGAGGCAATCAAAATAGCAATATTAACAGAAATTTGGAAGGTGATTCCAACTCTTATGGATGGCTTTGAAGGGTTCAAGACTTCAGTGAAGGAAGTCACTGAAGATGTGGTGGAAATATAGGAAAAGAATTAGAATTAGAAGTGGAGCCTGAAGATGTAACTGGATTGCTGGAATGTCATGATAAAACTTGAACAGATGAGGAGTTGCTTCTTAGGGATGAACAAAGAAAGTGTGTTCTTGAGATGGAATCTACTCCTGGTAAAGATGCTGTGAATGTTGTTGAAATGACAACAGAGAATTTAAAATGTTACATAAACTCCGTTGACAAAACAGGAACAGAGTTTGAGAGGACTGACTCCAATTTTGAAAGCAGTTCTACTGTGGATAAAACGCTATCAGAGAAATCTTTTGTAAAAGGAATGGTCAATTGATGTGGCAAACTTCATTTTTTCATAAGAAATTGCCACAGCCACCCCAACTTTCAGCAACCACTACCCTGATCAATCAGCAACCATCAACATTGAGCAGGACTCTCCACTAGCAAAAAGATTATGATTCACTGAAGACTCAGATGATTGTTAGCATTTTTTAGCAATATATTATTTTTTAATTAAAATGTTTAAGTTGTTTTTTAGACATAATGCTATTGCACTTAATAATGCACAATGTAAATGTAACTTTTACATACACTGGGAAACCAAAAAAATTGCGTGACTTGCTTTATGGCGATATTCTATGGCGATGGTCTGGAACCCAACCTTCAATATCTCCAACATATGCCTGTAAGTGGCTGATGACATATCAAAAATGTGACACAATTTATTTTTTTTAGAATCTTCTTTCCTAAGACTAATTGACTGGGTTATTTGTTGCCAAATCTTTAAAACTAGCTTTGTTTGGTGATCCAAGTCTCCATATTAAAGGCAATATCAATTAAGATAAAATGCTAATGTTACCTTAGATGTAGAAATGGCAATTCAATTATTTACCGATTTCTGACCCTTAATAGAGAAGTTCCTCAGCCATCTCTTTCTCTCTCCTGCCTCTTTCTCCCACACACACCCCACAGTAACTCACTCATAATCTTCATTTCCAGAAAGAAAAAAATTAATTTGAACTATCACACTTATAAATTATATTGGTTCAATTCATACACTTTAAAGTATTGACCTACTGCATTCAGATTGAAGGTAAAAATGAAAGTTTATCTTCTCTGATTGATGTTCTTCACTATATATGAATCCTTAATGTAAGTATATTCTAGATTTGACATGAGAAAACATTATATTAAAATTTTTTCAACTTATATGCTTGTTTTCAAACAAATTATTTTAGCTAAGAAACTAGTAAGATGGAGCCAGCATGCTATTATCATAAAGTCAATAATTACAGTAGTACATATTGAAAATCTAGGAACCACATGATTGGCTATAAATCTTTGAGGCTACTCAAAGCAAGTTAATTATAATACATTGCTGATGTAAGCATTTGGCTTCTCTGGTGAATAAAATAACCTACAGTTTTTGACATGATTTAAGGAGAAGAAAGGAGAAAGATGAAATTATCTTTGCTAATGCAGTGAACTAAAAATATCTCCTAAACTCCAAGTCATTTTCCAAAGTGGAAAAGTTCCTTCACTGAAAAATACATTATAGTTCCAATTTCAACCAAGAAAGCTAAACCTTTCTTTTTTTAAATGGTGGTTCAGAATTCAAGAAAAAATTTACAGCAGAAATAAAAGAATGAATGAAGAGCCTCAAGAAATTACAGAGAATATTTGAATGACGGTCGTTCTAACTAGTAATTCCAAGTGGAAGTCAGCCTTGGTTCTCAGTATCATTTATTTCTTGGACTTAGCTTTTACCTGGTTTGCTATGAGTTTTCAGTCACTAGATAAGTCAGATAATTTCAGGGAAACATATTTCACTCAAAAAATATCTCTTTTCATTTGCATTGTCCCTATTCCATTCTTTTCTGATCTGCGATATCACACTATTATTTCTCTATGTCCTCTCTCCCTACCTAATACCAACAAATTCAGACCTCTTGCTCTGGTAAAATGAACGCATTTGAACTTTCCTATATGCTACTTACATTTTTCTCTCCCTCCACTCAGCAAAATGCCTGGCACAATATGCAACCAGTAATGATCTGTAGCTCTACCTAGAAAGTCCCACATATTTTTTGGGGGCTTTTTTTCTAAAAGCCATGAACCTCACTTTGAAAATACTACTTCAAATTCACTTCTTTGAGGCAGTCATTCCAGACCATCTGTGTCTATTCACTTGGGGCTACCACAAAACATGTTTAGTTTGTATCGTATAACTTGTCCTTGTTGGGCTGTTTCCTTATAAAAGTATTCTTCAATCTCATGTTTGCTTATGTTCTGTCTTCCACTTGGGAAACTAAAGTTTTCATGCTGTTTCATTCCACAGTGCCTAAAATAGTCTTCCACACACAATGTGTACTCAAAATAAGGCTGCCTCAAACTTTTCTGAAAACTGTCTACAAATATATTTTCATAATTGTGAATTAAAAAGAAATACTTACTGGTCTATGCACCTGGTTCCTGACATAGAACTCCTAAAATCCTTGTAAACAGAGGCACTACAATAATCTTCTGTTCTAATATTTGGGTCTTCAACCCTGGTTCCTGACATTGAGCTCTTAAAACTTTTTGTAATTTCCTAAGTACTATGAGAGCCTTAAATGCAACTCCTAAATCCCTGAAATTTCCTGGGAGCTAGGAGCATCTTTTGTCTTAATGGGTAGACTCCTGGTAGGCTCCTGGAAAGCCTCAAGATGGGAGCTGGCTGCCTGGGAAACCAACCATGTGATCAGAGGATTGGAACCCAAAGCCCCTTTCCCAGACATCCGGGGACAGGAGAGGCTGAAAGTTGAGCTGCTCACCAATGGTCAATGATGTAATCAATCACACATACATAATAAAGCCCCCATAAAAACCTAAAAAGACATGGTTTGAAGAGCTTGTGGAAAGCTGAACACATGAAGGTGTTTGGAGGGTGATGCAATCACTGAGGTCATGGAAGCTTGGCACCCCTCTTCACATAGTTTGCCCCCTATGCATTTCTTCCATCCAACTATTTATCTGTATCCTTTATCCTTTATAATAAATTGATAAACTTAAATGTCTCCCAGAGTTTTGTGAGCCATCCTAGCAAATTTTTGAATCCAAGAAGGAGGTTGTGATAACCCTGATTTATAGGTGGCTGGTCAGAAGCATAGGTCACAACCTGGAATTTGCAACTGGTGTGTGAAGTAGGGGGCAGTCTTGTGGGATTAAGCCTTTGACCTGTGGAGTCTACCCTGAACTCCAGGATGCATCAGATTTGAGTTGAATTGTAGGACAGACAGTTGGAGTTGCTGTAGAGTTGGTTGTTGGTGAGAAAAAAATCTTACATTTTAGTGTTCTGAGTTGAGCGGTAAGACTGGGAAAAAGTTTGATTCTTCCTATCTCATGCAATAATTTAAAATATGTATGATAATTCTATATATTTAAAGATGATAGACTGAATACATGCAGTTAGTTCCTTTTGAATTCCCTAAAATAAAAACAAAGAGGGTTTTTGTATGTGTGCTTGGTTGTTTATTAAGGCATAAGCCCAGACAGAAAGAATAGAAATCAGAGACAAAAGCAACAAACTTTAGGAGCTGACAAGGCAGAGAGAAGACTGGTAAATGACTCAACAGACCCAAGATAGCTAAATGGTAAGCAAGAAGTGTAGAAAGCCAAGAGCCAACATGTTTATAATACAAAATTCCTTTAAGGCTCAGAAACCAGCAGGACCAAGTACCTGTGGCATCAGAGTCAAGGTAGAATTAAAATTACCTTCTCAATAAAAGTTCATTTAAGAAGCTTGGATAGGTCTTCCCATTCCCCTGATGTCCTCCCCTACTTAGTACAGCCACATGACTGACACTTTCCCATATCAGCAAAATATAAGAAGTCTGCTCTCTAGAGGGTAAAGAGAGGGTCTTTGGATTGGATCTATGCTATAGACTGAATCGTGTCCCCTCACCAAACATATATGTTAAAGTCATAACTCCCAACACCTCAGAATATGACTATAATTGGAAATAGGGTCTTAATTTAAAAGGTAATTAAGGTGGCTCTAATTGACCATGACAGGTATTTTTATCAAAAGAGGGCATTAGGACACAAACACACAGAAGGAAGTCCATATAGAGAAACAGGGAAAAAGGAGGCCATCTACAAGCTAAAGGGAGAAGTCTCAGAAGAGATCAACTCTGCAAAAGACACTCAGTCTGTGGTGGTTTGTTACTGCAGTCCTAGCACACTAATATCACATTAAAAAAAAAAAAAAAAAAAAAAAAAAAAAGGAAATGAAGTGACGCTTACAGATATACCAGAAGCTAGGCCCAGCCTTCTTCCCCACATGGCTTCTGAAATGCTGGGTACAAGGTAGAAGATTGTTCACTCTAGGGACTCTTGGCATTGGACTTTTCCAAAGAAATGTTCCAGCCATATAGTGAATATAACTGTTGACAAGACACACCCACATGCACAGTTTCCAATTAGTTTTACAGTCCCACCCTGAAATATGAGCAGATAGTAAAAGATTAGGAAACATTCAAAGAAAGCATTTAATATTAAAGACACCATAACAAACAACAAACTTCAAGGACACAGAAGTTATACAGTGAGAAGAAAACATTATCAGTCATTCTCTAAAAGATAAGTTAATAAGAATAAGATGCTAAAACAAAAGAAAAGAAATCAAAGGAGTTATAGAAGTTAAAAATATGAGTAGAAATGAGTAACTCAACAGAAGAGCTAGAAGATACAGCTGAAGACATCTCCCAGAAAGTAGAACAAAAGGACGAAACTGAAAATAAGAGAGAAATGATAAGATAATTAGAAGACTAGTTGAGGAAGTTCAATATGTAGAAAGTTAAACAGACCATGGGAAGAAGAAAAACCAACAGTAATTTCCAAGACCTGAAGGTCATAAGTTTCCATATTGAAAAGATAGCACAAAAAATGTACACCCAGCATAAATGATGAAAAATGATCCATGTTCTGGCACATCATTGTGAAATCCAAAACACTTAGAACAAGGAACAAATATTACCAGTTTCCAAAGAAAAAATACAGGATGTGTTCACTTTGCAAAGTATCAAGTAGAGCACTTCTATTTTGTACCCTTTTCTATATATATGTTAAAATTAGGTAAAAAGCTTTTTGGAAATGAAAGGAAATGAATGGTATCATCTTTTAGAAAAGATATGGTTTGGATCTGTGTCCCCACCCAAATCTCACCTTGATTTGTAATCCCCAGGGTTGGAGGTGGAGCCTGGTAGGAGGTGACTGGAGCCTAAGGGTGGATCCTTCATGAATGGTTTAGGACCACCCTCTTAGTGTTGTTCTCCTGACAGAGTTCTCACAAGATCTGGTTGTTTAAAAGTGTGCAGCACCTCCTTCATCTCTCTCCTCCTCTTACCCTAGCCATGTAAGGTGTGCCTGTTTTCCCTTCACTTTCTGCTACGATTGTAAGTTTCCTGAGGCTTCCCCAGAAACCAAGCAAATGTCAGCACCATGCTTTCTGTACAGCCTGTGGAATCATAAGCCAATTAAACCTCTTTTTTAAATAAATTATCCAGTCTCAGGCATTTCTTTATAGCAACATGAGAGCACACTAATATAAGAAGTAAACTGAGAAACTGTTTTAATTAAGTAGAAAAATAGTAAACATGTCTTCCTTAACAGGAAAAATATCAGACACACAAAGCATAAACTTAAAGTTTTGTGTCTTTCACAAAAGAGGAACTGAAATAGTAAATGGTTGATCAACAGTCTAAGCACAAGTGGGTTTCACCATTCAGGTATCATTATGTAATGAGTTTGCTATGCTTAAATATTAGATAGAGTCTGAAATTTAACTTCTATGGGGGAAAAAAAAGCAGGATAACAGACAAAATGTCCCTTTCAAACTCCCTAGAAGTAGATACAAGGACCCTTCAGCTCATTTCAAAGTAGCCTTCCAAACTCTGGTACACACATGCAGCTAACAACAATTTCATGAATATGAAATTAACATTATAAAAGAATACAGCATACCCGTATCTTTCCTTGGAATAAGTGAATGATGATTCTCCAGGGGATGGCCAAGAAAGTTCCAAGAAGTATTCTCTTTTTTCTTTAGAACAATCTCTATTTTTCCCACACTTTCAATAACCCGCACTGAAAAGAAGATAAACTCCATTTGTATTCATCAATACTAAATACAGGGTTTTATTTTAAAACCAGTATTTCTCACACAGTACAAGTGTCCTGATCTAATATGAATGGCACTGATTATTAGCTGGATAAATAAGATTTTGTTTACATATTCAATCACAATCACAATTGTTTATGCTTTATATGGTATTAAAGACAGCTTATTTTTATTTATTTTTTATTTTATTTTATTTTTTTTGAGACAGTGTTTTGCTCTTGCTGCCCAAGGTGGAATGCAATGGAGCAGTCTCAGCTCATTGCAACTGCTGCCTCCCAGGTTTAAGCAATTCACCTGCTTCAACCTCTCAAGTAGCTGGGATTACAGGCTAGTTTTGTATTTTTAGTAGAGGATGAGTTTCTCCACATTGGTCAGCCGGGTCTCGAACTCCCAACCTCAGGTTATCTGCCTGCCTCGGCCTCCCAAGTGCTGGGATTACAGGCATGAGTTTCTGTGCCCAGATGCTTAATTTATTTTTTTAACAGATTCAAATTAACTTCTTTCTAACTAATTTATTAAGGGCCAAACTACTATGTATTGCTGGTTTTCAAACAAGCTCAAATATAGCCATGGCAACTAACTGATACAAAGCTTAAAAAAAAAAAAAAAGAGCTGAGATGTACAAATTAGCTATTGAATGCCCCCACAAAAGCAAATTACATTTTTTTTAATATTCCTTTGTGAGAATTTGAAGGATTCTTATGAGTAAATTCAGTAGACTAATCCTGAGCCTAATAAACACAAGAATAGTTTCATGAGAATGAGTTCCTAGTAAACAGTAAACTAATGAAGTGCATGTAAATTTTTGATAAAAATATTTTAGATTATCTTATTTTTTGAATAATTAAAATGTTTACAATATGTGGGTATAATAATAAAACACATGCTTTCATAAGCTGATTTAAATTTTATGAATTGAACATGCTTTTATATTTTTCTTCAGAGACAACATTCTGTTCTCCCTCACTGTAAACACAAAACCCAGTGACAATTTAACAGCTTTTAAAGATAGATGAGTCAAATGAATTCAATTTGATGAGCACTGATTTGAAGCTTAACCAAAATAAAAACATGTTCTTTGTCTTTAAAGAGCCTAATCTATATAATTTACAGAATCTACTATGATATATGGAAAAGGGGAAACATTGGACCAGTGTAAGGTACGCTGACAGTACTTGAAAACAAGAAAACACCATTCTATAATCAGTCTTCTATTGTTAATATGGTAACATGCAGCTGTGTAAAACCTTGCTGCATGTTTACATGCAGCAATATTCATAATTTAGTATGCTCTGTCAACATTAAACATTTAAGTATATAGATGAAAGAAAATCTGTCTAATATAGTGTATTTCTACAAACTGTATGTCAAGAGTAGGGCAGATATAAGGAAGGAAGAATAAAAAGCAGACAAAAATTTTTTTTAAAGGAGAAAAAAAGTGTTTAAAGAGATCAAAAGAATAAGGGGGTCCAGCTTGGGCAACATGGTGAAACCCTGTCTCTACAAAAAAAATTAGCCAGGTGTAGTGGTGTGCGCACTGTGATCCCAGCTACTTAGGAGGCTGAGGCAGGAGGACCGCTTGAGCCCGGGAGGCAGAGGTTGCAGTGAGCCAAGATTGCGCTGCTACAGTCCAACCTGGGTGACAGAGTGAGATGCCGTCTCATAAACAAAAAAGGGAACAACAGGGACAATAAAACAGGCAAAAACCTGAAACCAGAGGAATATATTTAAAAATTAATGTATTTGTTTTTATCTGTACAACAAACCCCCATGACACACATTTACCTATGTAACAAACCTGCACAGCCTGCACATGCATCCCTGAACTTAAAGGTTAAAAAAAAAGAGAGAGAAAGCATCACATCTTTCTTTTGCAACATGAAAACATACATATGAAAAATAAAACAAATGCTAATTTTTTCATTTTTTCTTATTCTCTCTCTCTCTGTAGGTATGTGTTTATGGATGTACACACATAATAAATTCTGGTTTTTGGTAGCTTACCAGAAAAATCTTCCTGAACCTCACGGCTTAGCCCTAGGATAGAAAAATTTATTTAATTAAAATAGAACTTCAATTAATACAGTTTTTGAACACAATATGTCATTTACATGGCTCTTTTATGAATTATTTCAAATCCCTCAAGACAAATAAAAAGTATTCTGAGAGATCAAAGAAATTGTACACAAAATAATCGAATTATTTAAATGTATATTTTTTCAATCATTTCATTTTTCTCCCTATGAACTAAAGAGCAAATACTCAATTGCCCACAAGTGGGTAACCCACACTAGTCCAAGCGTGGATGGTTCCACACTGGGAATCCTATAAACCAAGAGAGGAGTAGGCTAGGGAGAGGCAGCACCTGAAGCATGCAAGCGTGTGTGTGTGTGTGTGTGTGTGTGTGTGTGTGTGTACGCGCGCGTGCGCCTGCGTCTAGCTTAACTTTTCTTATTGTTCTCCAAAGTTGAATATCCATTCAGTTATTGAAAAGAAAAATTATTGAGCATCTACATGTGACAGGTACTCTTTAGGTGTTATGGACACAATATTTAATAAGACAGAAAAATTCCTGCCCCTTTGGAACTTATATTCTAGAAGGTGGTGATGTAAGAAATATGCTTACAAATGTCTGCTGTAAATTTCACTGTGTTCATATGTTTATCTGGAATTTAAATTTTGCATTATTTCAGTCCTTTCAATGCAATATTAGCAACCAAAAGTTCTGTATTTTTAACTGTGGAATATTTAATTTTTTAAAATAAGTGTGCTAGTGTAGAGATCCCTGGTTTCTACTACCGTTTTCTCTGTCCTGATAAAAAAATACAAAGTTGGTCTTTAGCCATGAAGGACAGACAGCTGGGGGATACAACACAAATCTGTAGTCCAGGCTGCTTTGCTGCACCCACTGACTTTCTACGGCAGAGCTGGCAAGGAACAGACCAGTGGAATGAGCCATCTAGCGAAGGACAGTCAGTAGAAGCATGTGACCAATGGGCCTTGGAAGACTCGCTTGTAGGTGTCAGGTAAGAGAGATTTTACAAAGCTGGGCCAACAAATACTTTATATCATTGATTTTGATTGCATCTAGTTACTTAAACTTGGAAAGGTGAGGTCACACCACCACTTGCTAGTACTTTTATTAGTGTAAAGAAATTACAGGAAAAAAACTGATCAAAAATGACAAACCAAAATGATAATGGCAGATAAAATATTACAGTTACCTGGACTGTAGACCAAGTTATTGTCATATTTAAAGAAAATCAGAGCTCTTTCATTAATAATAAAGTACTCACCAATATGTATAAGATATAAACAATCCTTAATAATTGTTTCTGCTCTAAAGGAATCATCCTGACGATCAACTATTATTGAGTCTAAATTGATATCCTGAAACAGAAAGCAAAAATAGAAGGATTAGAAAGTAAAAATTTCCCCTAAACTTTTACAACTAAACTTTTAAGGTGATCTGTGGACGTTCATATGATGCTTCTTTATTGAACCTCCAAGCTAAACAAATGTTACTTCTGTTTTTCTCTCTTATGACCCAGTATTTCTTCAATACACATATCAAAATTGTAATTACCATATATTTGTCTCTGTTTAATATCTACCTTATCCACTAATATCTAAGCTCTAAGGTTAAGGGGCTATCTTTAGAACATTATTTGGCACCTAGCAAGTGCTCAATAAATATTTTTTGAATAAGCAATATGTAACTCCACCCCCCAGAAAATTACAATCAGACTAGGAACTAAGATATTTGTTCTTCATCTTTATCTTTCCACTAATGTGGTCTGGGCAAATTACATAACCATTTGACCTCAGCTTACAAAAAAAATCAATTCACTAACATATTTTTAGATGTCTCTAATTTCTACATAGCCTTGGTGTAAGATATATATTATTTATATTACTCACTGAATATATTATTCCTTTCCTTTTCCCTTAGCCATCCATGCTCTATGCCCCACTGATATTACCAGTGGGAGTAGACCTCCCTAGAGCCTGTGCTCTGGGTTTTGAGCTGTGTGAAAAGACAATATCAAGAGGGAGTGGAAAGCAGGATAAGCAGCACTGCTGGCCCTCTTGGCTTTTTTCAGGCAGAGGCTGGTCTACTCTGCAGAATGGCCAAATCATGCTGCAAGAGTCAGAGGAACCCACTGGTTCAGACATGGTTCTGCCGCTACAGAAGTAGCATGAATTCTCAAAAATTCCTAGTTGCCAGAACTTGTCTTTAAATCTACATATCCCTCAAAGTATGGGAACCTCAACAGTTGCTGGAGGATGTGCTTAGAGATATTATAAACTGTCTGCATATTTATTTACAGCTGGGCTGTAAGCTCTTTAAAAGCTAGGTCTCTATATATCTGGCCCATCATTAGATCCCTGATATCTAAGACTATGTTCCATATGAAGCAGGTTACATAAATACTTAGTGAATGAATTATCTCTGTAACTTTAGTTTCAATGATGAGTGAATTATCTCCCTAACTTCAATTTCTAATGGGCATCTGAACACCATTAGTGGTTTAAACATACTAAACAACAGCAAAATACTTTCTCCAATACCAGCTTATGTCCGGAAAATTTGTTCTTATGGTGAAGTTAACTAAGATTCATTTTTGTTATCCATGCTTTAAACAAACACACATACACACACACAGGTAAACACATAAAATACTTCCTACTCTCATTTTTGAGAGGCTATAGCAATGGCCGTCAAGAGCATATGCTCTGGAACCAGACTGCCTGAGTTCCAAATGCCAGATCTGCCCACTCAGTGTGTGACTTTGCATGAATTACTTAATCTTTTCTATGAGAGGGATAACAATAATATGTACCTCAAAGAATTGTAGTGAGAAGTAAATAATATAAAAACGTGCTTAGAAAAAGACCTGGTACATAAATTAGCATTTATTATTTACTTCTTTTTCTGATAAAGACATATTTACCTTCTGTTTAGTATATATGGCAATGGTGACTAAAGAGTCTGTTTGGAACCAATCATAGCTGTAAAATATAAGGAAAATGATGAATAATTATATTGACAATCATGTGCATTAACACATATTAATCATTAAATGTTTAAAATTTATAGTGAGACATATCTGTATTTCTCTAGGTTAAGTTTTTTTTCTAAATAAAAAGTGGTCTTACCATGTTACATTCTTTATTATACTGCTGACAACTATTTCTAAATTCAAAATATCTATACTTCCATGTATTCCCACTTGAATAAAAACAAAGTATCCTTAACAAGACACTTTTTATAAAGGCTACACATCTCTTTACTAAAATCTTATTTTATCAGAGCAAAAACAAAACACAACATATTTTGTTAAGGAGCATGAAAAAATGTACATGTTTATTATCTTCACTCTTCCCTATCACAAATATATTAGTACTGAAGAAATGAATTCACCACGGTTGTTTAATGGATCCACAGTAAAACTTAAAATGAAACCAAGTCTTCTGTTTTGTTATAGCTATTGATCAATTTGATACTCTTTTTGCACTTACTACCCTACATATAGGCCAATCTATAGGAGGCTTCCTTAGTCCCTAACTTAAAATTGTATATGAAATAATTTAACAAATATAGCAGGATACTGCTGTTAGAATAATATAAACTGGTGGTGGGGAGAAAAGGGGTAAGAGAGAGAACTACAGAGAACACACCTGAAGGTATTTTAAGTGTCATTAACAAAACATGCATGTATTGCTTAAGTTACTGTTAACTGTTTAAGACAACTATTGGGCAATATATTTTGAAAATTTTTCATTAAAAATTGATAAAAATGAACTAGATATAAAAAATAGAATATTTAAATACATTATGGCAGGGTAATATGAGGGAATGCAGAGAAAAAAGGCTTTCATAGAATATTTAATGGCATAGGAAAATGCACATAGAATATACTGTCATATCAACATTATAAAATAGAATAATATGGAAGTAGGTATTATATTAATCAAACTGGAAAAAACAAATAATAGTATATATCTAAGGATGGTGAGATTACAACTGATTTTATAACTTTCTTTTGTATTTCTCTATATTTTCTAAGTTTTCTACCATTAATGTATTTTTTTTATATTCAGAAAAATATTTTAAAATAGCTTTTTAAAGTACTGGTATTTAAAATGCATAAAACTTTAGTTATATTTAAAATTCACATTTATGGAACAGCTCATTCTGCAACAAAATCTAATAAATGAGGCACTACAGTTCTTGTGTCAAAGATGCATGACTAATAATAAGCAAAAAATAAAATCCAGAGTTGCTTTATTTTTTAAATGTGTACATATTTGTATAGAACTGATTTAACTTCAAAAATTTTAAATAACAATGCATACCTTGGATAATTAGGACCTTCTTTGGCAAGTGTATCTGTCACCTGGCTCTTGGGAAGCATGCCTTCACAAAGAAAAATAGCTATAGTTCATCTACAAAGTATTTTTAATTTTTGTCTTTTTAATTAACTTCTTATTGAAATATTACATACATTCATAGAAGGATACAAATCACAAATGTACTACTCAATATATTTTCACTTGATCTTAGCCAAAAGCTCAAGATAAAGTGAAACATACCCTTGCAGTCAGCATTCTCTTCATGCCCCCTTTCAATCACCATCCCTACCTCAAGAGTAACATGTATTCTGACTACCAACACCATGGTTTTGCCTGTGTTTGATCTTTATACAAGCAGAATGATAACATATGTTCTCTTTTAGTCTGGCTTTTTGTCCAACATTCTAGACATTACAGTTCTTATGTGAAACAAGCATGATTGACAATCAGCAAAGATCAAATCTGGGCTTGCTGAAATTTTATCCAGGCTATTCAATTCATCAGTAGTTTGGTCCTTTTTGTAACTAAGTAGTATTACATTATATGAATAGTTCACAATTTATTCATTTTCCTGCTGATGAATATTCAGGTTGTTTCCACTTTGGAGCTATTATACACAGTGTTGATATATTCTTTTAAATGTACATGTATATTCTCTTTTTTTTTTTTTTTTTTGAGACTGACTCTTGCTCTCTTGTGCAGGCTGGAGTACAGTGACACGATCTCGGCTTATGGCAACCTCCACCTCCTGGATTCATGTGATTCTCCCACCTCAGACTCCTGAGTAGCTGGGACTACAGGTACGCCCTACCATGTCCGGCTAATTTTTGTATTTTTAGTGGAGACGGGGTTTCACCACACTGGCCAGGCTGGTCTTGATCTCCTGATCTCAGGTGATCTGCTCACCCTGGCCTCCCAAAGTGCTGGGATTACAGGCATCAGCCACCACATCTGGCCCGTAAATGCACATCCTTAAAGAACACATATCTACATTTCTGGTTAGCAGGAAGAGTGCTTTAGCAGATACTACTCAACAGCTCTCCAAAGTGGTTGTACCAATTTACACTTTTACTACAGTAAAAGTGTTTGGAAGCTCCAGCTGCTCTACAACCTCACCAACATGTAGTCTTCTGTCTTTCCCCATTTTACTCACTCTTGTGGGTACGCATTCTTGCGTGTATGATGCATTTTAAAAGCCCACTAAAGCTACGATTTTAAAATCATTTCAGAAAACTCTGGGACATGGATTAACTCAAGATATTGCAAACATTAAGTATTTTCCTCCTACAATAGGAGTGCATTGTTTGTATATGGTAAGATTTAGTTTGGAAAAAAGAAGTACTGCTGCTAAATGACATTTGAAAATCATTGCATGAATTATATCCATCTCAAAGTATGCTGGAAAAAAATTAATGGTTAATATCTGCTGAATCTTGGGTTCCCAAATCAGAAATCACAGTATTTTACACAAATTTAAGTGTTGGGAGACACCTTTGGGACAAGATAGTTTAGAGGTTTCCAAGATTCTTTTTAGACACAAACCTTTTGTTTAAAGACAAGCTCAAGAGCAAGTAAGATGTAAAACAGTCATATTTTTCTGGATGGACCAAATGCCCTGAGTCCAGGCCTTACTCATTCAGCTTCCCTTTCTTCCCACATAACTGTGCAGAACACTATTTTCAGATAAACAAAGGAAATCTCAGAGATGTGACAACAATGTCAGAGTTCTGAACTAATAATTAGCAGTGGCCACTAAAAGAAGAATGCTCTGCTACAAAACTACAGGTAAAACAAAAGAGGACGACAAGAATTAAATGTATTTTTTTCTGAAATGGTAAGAACAAGACAAAATAATTTCATTAAATTATTTAAGAAACACTCAAAGATTTCACTAAGAGATTAATGTAATTCCTCTTTTGGAAGTCTCTTATATAAATAAAAATCAAATGCATCAAAATCTAAGAATTCCTGTAAGAAAAATCTCTCAATAGAATTCATAAATTTTAAGTCAATATGGGTCTTGTATGACTTAATTAGGACCAGAAAATTGATCTTATGCAAGTCACTGTTTCCTCTTCTTCGAACTGAAGCTATTAACAGCAATGAAATACTCCCTGCAATCTCATGGGTGATCAAATGAGAAAATAATTAAACATTCTAAAAAACTATATAGTAGCATTAAGATATATCTTATTAAAGCAGAATAATATAGTAATACATGGAATGTGTCTTAATTTAAAACTAACTAAAAACAACAACAAAAAACCCCAAACGTTACATATTATTATTTTGAATAAGTTGAAAAAATAGGGGGTGAATGTGGAGTGAAATAAAATAAGTAATGCAACGTGGACTGAATGAATGTTCTTTCTTCCATAAGTGTTGACTGACTGACTGACTGCTGCTGATTTGAAGGGATCAGGTCTCTAGTGGAATAGGAAAGCAGTCCAACCCATTCAGTATTTTAAGCAGCTATTGGAATGGTAACATACAATGCAGGCAGATCACATTTGCAAATACAGACTTACCGCATAGACTTAAATAAGCCCAAAGGAAAAGGCAGCTAAAAATATATATATGTAGATGTGTTCCAATCTTATAGGGTCCAGGGTCCAGGTTACAAGAGGTAACAGGGCTAACCACATCACTTGTGGAGTGCTGTAATCCATACTTAATGCCACCTTTAACTGAGAAATTAGTCAAATGCAGTGCATCCAAAGAAGGCAACAGAAAAGTAAAGGTTCTGGAGGCCATATGCAGTGGAAAGGAAATGCCCACTCCATCACTAATTAATCATTAAGCAATGGTGGTTTCTGCAGTATCACAGAAGAGTCAATAATCAGGCGAAACCAAAGATCAGTCCTTCTTTTAATGGAGTATTATATTATCCAATGAACAACTTCAGGTACCATAAATTGCATGAATTAGTCTACAATATAGACCATTTCTTCCAGTTAACAAAGAAAAAGGTAACTCATCTGGCAATGTAGCTTGTTAGTTGCATTTCTTTAACTTCCTTTTGCAAACAACAGAAAAACTGTTTCTAAGTGTACATCAATATAGTTCAGTCAGAGTTAGCACCATGCATTTTATGTCAGTGTTGACCATCACATCAAGCTTTTTTCTGGGGTAGAGGAAGTATCAGTCATTATTTGCAAGTCATCCAGAATGGTTGAGGAAAACAGCACCACTCAGCTCAGAAAATTATAGATTAATAAATTATTTGACATGTGTATGCAAACACTGGAGGTAAGCTCACACCTAAGAAAACTGACTTGGTTTTGTCTTGTTTCTGAGGATGAAACTCCTAATCACTACAAGTATTCAAGCTGAGGGGTGATAACATATATTTAGGTTGACAACAGAAAGCACGATTGTAAGAGTAATGGCTAGAATAAGGGGCCTATAAAGCCCTATGAAAGACTCATAAGTTTGGGCCAGTAAAGCTATCTTTAACATTAAAAAAAAAATTCTAAATGTCCTAGACCATTCTGTGAAGCAATACTGTTCATAAGCATGTGAATATCATTCATTTATTATAAATTTATAGACTTACCATTTAAGACTTTCTTTTCCTCCTCACGATAGTCTGTATAGTAATTTAGGAAAAAAAGTCAAATAAAAATACTTTAATGTCAAGGAGAATGTCAGTCCATATTACTGATTTCAAGATGACAGCCCTTCTTTTTTGAAGGGCTTTCTTCTAAGGCCTGAGGAGAGAAATAAGGCTAATACAAAAATGGCTTTTGTTTTAAACAAGTTTCATCTCTGAAGATTGCCAGACCGTATTTCTCCAGATGTTTGTCTCTCATTTCATTTGGATTTTTTCTAATTCTTTGGTCACCTTTTTCTAATATGTTGGTTAATTGCTATACAGAGCATATGTAAACACCAAGTTTCAACCAGGTTATCATATTTTAAATTAGTCCAAGTTAACCAGAATTTATTAGATTACACTTCATAAATGAAACACACACATTAACAACTCAAAGAAAGATATATCTTTCCCTTTTACTGAGTTCAATGCATAAAATGATCGTTATTACAAGTTTAAAATATGTTCAGATTTTTGCATGTATACATGTAATTATTAGTGTTACAAACTCAGGAAGAAAAATTAACAGATATTTTATTTCAGGATGGCAGTCAACTCAGAAAGCTATATTATATTCTAATAACCACAAGTGTTGTAACCACTGTAGTCAAAATAAACACCTCAGCAAGTTGTCAAAATTTCAAAAAACAAAAGGGATAAGCTAACAAAAAATATTCAAGTAGTCAAATTCAAAGATATCATTTGTTAAGCTGACATCATCTTGTTTCATACAAAAAGAAACGTATTCAAAATCAAAGCTTTCAAATTTTTGTGTTCCAATTTTTAATCACCAAAAATTCCACAATTAATTCTACTTCAGTCATTCATCTCAAAATAATAATCATTAAGGAAGCCCAAATGACCATCATTTTCCTTTTCCTCATTTTACCAAAATAATTTTACAGCTGAAAGGAATTTTAATAATATACAGCAAATTATCACCTGATCTCCTAATAAAGGCTGAAAATCAGAGGTCAAAGGACTTGAATGAAATCCACAGCTCTCCAGCAACGAAGCCAAAATTAGATTTGTCTCTCCTGAAACATAGTCCTATTTTTCTTGGCAATCCATTGCTAGAGTTAACGTTTCCTAAAAAAATAGTGGGCCTAAAAACCATTTAAATTATACTTCAAAATGAGCTTTATCAACTTGCAGATACAAATCTGGCCATTACAGTTCGCAAAGGATCACTGATGCCCTGCTTAGTCACCTACTTTCATCCAGTCAGTTTTATCTGTCTTTGCTGTTACAGCTGTGATTATTTGTTTTATCTTACAAATTCAAAGAACATAAATTTTTTTTATGGTACACTGATATATATGTTCAGTCAACAATATAGTGAACCGTTTAAGAAATCTCACTTATCATTTAAAACAATTTTTATCTAAGATAATTTTAAATAATTTTAAAATTATCCCAGGTAATTTGTTTCTAAGAAAAAAAATATTGTCTCATATGATTACTTTTTGCCTGATATCAATAGATTTGAATCTGTCAGAACTTTCTGGATTCTGCAAAATTAGCAGGTTTTTTTTTCCCCCGAGTCTTTTTTTAATACAAGAAGTGCTAGTATGAACAGAACTTCCACTAAAATAATCTGGATTATCTTTAAAAATTCTCCCAATCTACTTTTATAACTCTTTTCAAAAACTGAGTCATAGAAATGGAGGAGACTGTTTTTCACTCTTAAGCATACTTACATCTGAATCATTTTAGTCACAGGAGATACTTTCCTCCCTGAAAAAAAATCTGATATCTTCTCTTGGTAACTAAGTCCATCATTTAGTTGGCTTCATAGCCAATCAAATTTGTAACTTCTCATAACACTGGTTAAACTACAGCTAGTGCTCGACTTACGACCACGATTGGTTCCGACAGACCGGTCGTAACACGATTTGGTCGTAAGTTGAGTAGGCTATATGTACAGTACTGTGAAATGATGTTACAAAAATCTTTAAGTCATATTTTATCATAACTTTCTTTCATTATTGTTATATATCATAATTTTCTTTGTTCATTTTATGCCATTTGTATCATCTCTACACCATTTTGTTTCTTATTTTTACATTCGTCAGGTTTAAGTAAAACACTGCACTTCCAGTAGTAAGGGTTGACGTGAATGCTTATTATGAAAGCATTCTTGTCAAATCTCATTTTTAAAAAGCCACCTTAACTTGTGGTAAAGGCGCAGCCTTGTGTAAAACTGTGGAATATTCACAGACCACTGAACCACGGTGGTCTACGGTTTGAAGTAAAAAACCACGGCACATGATGAGTTTTGAAAAGCAGAAGAGTATGAACTATGTTAAGTCTTAGGGTTAAAAAGGACTAGTTGCTAGGTATTTATTTATTATCATTGTAAATAGAAAAGTAAATCATCACAATTTTATGTGACTTTCCATGGGATACAAATATGCAGCATCCATCATAAAAGATGTCATCTGGATATCTTGTTCAAATATAATTTAAACTTAGTATGTTCTAATATTGTTAAAGATATAGGGATATAAACCACTCACATTTTAGTAAGAAAGGCAAGAAAATGACTAATAATGATATGATATAGCATATATGTTTACTGTCCCGCACTGTCGTATGCCCAGCTGGGCAACGTTTGCGCTGCCAGACGCAGAGCAGTCGTGGCTAGTGATTGTGGTCCTAAAGTCAAATGGTCGTAAGATGCATAGGTCGTAAGTCGATCAATACCTGTATTTACTTTGATAAGAACCTTTATTTCCGGAGAGGTCAGAGTCATTTAGAAGGCTGGTGCTGTGATCTAACAGCATGCAGCCCTTTCTTGGTAAGGATCTTTAATTACGACCCAAATCTAGTTTACCTCTGCTGAGCAGAGGCACAGGAGGATATCCTGTAATAAAGAAAGATCTAGTAGGGATAAAGAAAGATCTAGTAGGAAGACCTTTCTTTTATCAGTATGCTCATTCTTTTAATAAACATCTATTGATCATATTAAGGGGATATTGACATAATATGATACCATTTGGATACAAAGTTAGGAAAATAAGAAAATATATTCAGTCTGCTTATCATATATAATTTGGAGAGAGTCACAACAACAACAACAACAACAAAAAACATGTCCTTGGTGTATGCATAGGAGCGGAAAACAGTAGATGGGAGGCAGAACTATGGTAAGGGCACTTCTTGAATCATGTGAGTGCATTACATATTCAAAAATACAATAAACAGAATTAAAAGTAAAGTCAATAGGCTCCTTTTTTTCTTTTCTTTTTTTCTTTCTTTTTTTGAGACAGGGCCTTGCTCTGTCACCCAGGCTGTATGTAGTACAGTGGCTCTATCTCGGCTCACTGCAACCTCTACCTCCTGGGCTCAAGCAATTCTCCCGCCTCAGCCTCCCAAGTAGCTGGGACCACAGGCACAGACCACCAGGAGTGGCTAATTTTTTTTTGTAGAGGCAGGTTTTCACTATGTAGCCCAGGCTGGTCTTGAACTCCTGAGCTCAAGCAATCTGTCTGCCTTGGCATCTCAAAGTGCTGGGATTACAGGCGCTAGCCACCATGCCTGGATGATGCGCTCTTTTTTTTTAGTTATTATACTTTAAGTCCTGGGGTACATGTGCAGAATGTGCAGGTTTGTTACATAGGTATACACGTGCCATGGTGGTTTGCTGCACCCATCAACCCATCATCTATATTAGGTATTTCTCCTAATGCTACCCCTCCACTAACCCCTCGCCCATAACAGGCGATGGTGTGTGATGTTCCTCTTCCTGTGTCCATGTGTTCTCATTGTATAGCTTCTACTTATGAGTGAGAAAATGCAGTGTTTGGTTTTCTGTTTCTGTGTTAGTTTGCTGAGAATGATGGTTTCCAGTTTCATCCATGTACCTGCAAAGGACATGAACTCATCTTTTAAGGCTGCATAGTAACTGATGTTGTATATGTGCCACATTTTCTTTATCCAGTCTATCATTGATGGGCATTTGGGTTGGTTCCAAGTCTTTGCTACTGTGAACAGTGCTGCAATTAACATACATGTGCATGTGTCTTTACAGTAGAATGATTTATAATCCTTTGGGTATATACCCAGTAATAGGATTGCTGGGTCAAACGGCATTTCTGGTTCTAGATCCTTGAGGAATCGCCACACTGTCTTCTAATATGATTATACTAATTTATACAACCACCAACAGTGTAAATGTGTTCCTATTTCTCCATATCCTCTCCAGCATCTGTTGTTTCCTGACTTCTTAATGATCACCATTCTAACTGGCATAAGATAACATCTCATTGTGGTTTTGATTTGCATTTCTCTAATGATCAGTGATGATAAGCTTTTTTCCATATGTTTGTTGGCTGCATAAATGTCTTCTTTTGAGAAGTGTCTGTTCATATCCTTCATTCTTTTTAAGACAGTGTGTGGTAAGTGTTGTAAAAGAGGTATGCAGAAGGTGTTACTGAAGCACAAAAGAAGAACGTCTCAACTGGAAGAAATTTGAAAAGACTCCATAGAAGTAGTATTTTAGCTAACTTTTGAAAATGTATAGGCATTTTTCAGGAGTCCCTGAAGAAAAGAATTCTAGGGAAAAAAAAATGCTGCGCATTAATTGAAGGTTTTACAATTATCTTATAGCTACATTCCTCATCTCCCTTTCTTATTCCAAAAGGCTGGTATTATGTCACCATCAGATATGACCTCAGTCTTGTTGCCAGGGATCTTATTCACGAAGTCCTAAATTTACTGTTCTATATTCCCTTGCCTGCTTAGCTTTGCCAGAAGACTTCTTGGTTCTGCATAATGTGTTTAATAATCATTTTTCCTCTAGAAATTCTTCCATATCTCTAAACAGAACTCTTTGTAACACAACTTAGGCCTGGTTCTTTTTTAAAATTAAATATACTTTTTAAATTTTTGTAGAGACAGGATCTCACTATATTGCCCAGGCTAGTCTTAAACTCCTGGGCTCAAGCAATCCTTCTGCCTTGGCCTCCCAAAGTGCTGAGATCACAGGCATAAGCCATCGCACCTGGCAAGGCCTAGTTCTTGTTTTTGATTCAAAAGTCATATACCTATTTCTGAAATCTCATAAAACTTAAACTTTCTTTACCTTGGTTTCCTCTATTCATCTTTGTAATCATCTTTCAAATCATGTTTCAATTTTATACATCTCTCAAACTTCTAATAGTTTATTAGCAGAATTAAAATGAAGAATTAGTAGTTCAAACCCACATATTCTGAAAAATCCAAAGACTGAAAAGCTTTAAAATACCAGAGTACTAATTTACTTTATTAGTTTTTCCTCCATTTTTCATTTAATCACAGCATATGCTGTATTTTTAGAAGTTTATATTTTCTCCCTAAGTTGGCTTCACTTGTCTTTTTTTTAATCAATTCTCCAATGTGTCAGTTATTTTCCATTCCTGTCCTATCATCAGAGTGATTACAATTCCTTTTTTATTTGGAATCACCTGCACATGAATATACACATGTTCAAAATTCTTCTATGAAAACAAAACAAATGCTAACACAAAACATTAGTCAGTCACACCACTACAGCAAGACACACTTCCTGTTTAGGTCTGCATCGGCCCCCTAACCAGGGTCTTCTTACTTCCCATTTTGAGTTAACGTTTCCTTAACTCTCTCTGGCAAGAATCACAACAATGGACCCTACAGCAGAAAGTGCAAATTAAGGCAGCCAGGCTGAGACAGCAAACTTGTCTGTCCAGTAAAGTGCAACTTCAGAATGACTCCCAGCTTCCCTGTCTCCACCAGTAACTGTCTTCCTTCTCCTCTCCCAGTTAGTCTCTGAGCTTGTGCTTTGTCTACCTAAACTGTCCCCATTTTGCCAAAGAGGAAACTTAGGCTCATAGATCAAACAACCCTGGCTTTACAAAAGTTGAACTTCCAACTGACAGCCAGCTCATTCAACAGTTGTCTTGTCCTTGCTCACAGTGCTATGACAGTAAAAGAAATCTTTGAAAGTAAAGTCTCAGCCTGCTATGAGTCTTGGTGTTTATCTCCATCCTCAGCTCTACAGATGCCAGAGTTTGCCTAGGATGAACCAGAGAGCTGTCCAATGTGTGCGTACCAGCTTGACACGTATGTGCCACTAATACCAGCATGTTTAAGCATAAAAAACTAATGCATATAAGATGCTTTCTCTGCTTCAATACTATTAACATTTTAGGCCAGAAAATTCTTTGTTGTGGGAGTTTGTCCTGTGCAATGCAGGATATTTAGCAGTATCTCTGATCTCTATCAATTAGAATGCCAGTAGCATTTACTTTCATTCTAACAACCAAAATGTCTCCAGACATTACCAGATGTCCCCCTGAAGAGCAAAATCAACCCCAGTTAAGAACCACTGGCATATACTAAAAGAAAATGAATTAATGAAAAAGCAGGTAACATTAATGAGGTAATTCTCTGCCTTACAAAACGTTTACCTATGGTTTCTTCAATCAATTTAATAATTATGTACTCTTTTGTAAGATACAATACACACAAGCCTCAGTATCTTCACTTTTAAACTGCTCTAAATCCCTCTTCGGTTAAGTATTCTATTAATGTATGACTCTAAGTGCTTTATTGCCAGACAGAGAGGTCGTGAAATCTAAAAATACAGTGTTAGAAACTATAACAAAGCAATGAGAAATTATGAAGAAATGTTCCTGAGACTGTACTATATCACTGAAAAATATGATCACTTAAAAATATGGCATACTAATTTTTTTAAAGTACACTTATGGTCTAAAACAGCACTGTTTAAACATTATAATGCAAGCCACAAGTATAATTTTAAATTTCCTAACAACCAGATTAACAAAATAAAAAAAAAAAAAAAAGGTTACATTTAATAGTATATTTTTATTTAACTCAATATATCCAGATTATCATTTTAACATGTAATCAAGTAAAGATTATCAGATATTTTACATTTTTTTTTCTCTTGAAATACACTGTGCCCTTTATCTACAGCATGTCTGAATTTGCACTAGGCATATTTCTAGTGCTCAATAGCCACATGTGACAAATAGCTACAGTAACAGCCAAAGAATAAGGGCAAAGAATGAGCATTCATTTTTCATCTTTACCAGATAATGAAGTATTCCACAGATATAAATTATCAATAACTGAAGTTTACCTTTTCAAGTAAAATTTATCCTTTCATTCACTATTAATACATCTTTTTAAAGCATAATACAAACCACAATACTATTTTATTTTATTATTTTTTTAAATTGAGATGGAGTCTTGCTCTGCCACCCAGGCTGGAGTGTAGTGGCGCCATCTCAGCTCATTGCCATCTCTGCCGGGATTAAAGCAATTCTCGCGCCTCAGCCTCCTGGGTAGTTGGGATTACAGGCTCCTGCTACCACGCCCGGCTAATTTTTTTTGTATTTTTAGTAGAGACGGGGTTTCACCATATTGGCCAGGCTAGTCTTGAAGTCCTGACCTCAGGTAATCCACCCACCTCAGCTTCCCAAAATGCTGTGATTACAGGTGTGAGCCACTCTACCTGGCCTACCATAATACTTTTTAAACAAAGGATTATGATAAATACAACTCATTCTTTGCTTGATAATAATACAACTGTATTATGTTTTATATTTCAAGTCTGTTAGCTTTTCTGGCTTCTTCCTAGATACCCAGGTGTTTTACCACTGCCAGACTAGAATCCATCAGATGAAGTGAAAACTAACTTCCCAGAGCTGTCCAACTGTGGGATGCCTAAAAAAAGTCAGGATCCCCTGCTTTGGAGGATGTGGTAGGTCACCTCATTTAAAAGACTGTTTCAAGCTTTGGGTATTAAAAAGAGCCCATGTGTAAAATTCCTCTTCAGAATATCCACCATTTCCCCAAACCCCCATGTTAGGAACAGTCTCTTTTCAGCCTTGATTTCCACTTCATCCTTTGTTTTCAACCTCTGTTCCCAGTTAATCTAGGGGTTCTAATTGTAGGGTGAACACATGCCCTGGTGTGCCAGAGAGTCAATGTTTACCACTATTGTTCTAGCATAATTACTAATAGAGCACCCTTTCATTCTTCACATTGTCTTAGTTTGGACAATTATGCGGTTATCCCAGCTAATGGTCTCTATTGGTAAGTCTTAAGCCAGCAGAGACTAATGATCAGTCCTTGCCGACAGGTGAAGGGTATATAAGTACTGTGAAAATAACACTTCATTTTAATTATTATCAATATTTCTTATTTCTGACACATTAAATCTTTCTCTTTAGCTGCTTGTCCCTTTTATGTGGTCACCTTGTTCTAGTGACCCTGGAGTTCTGACTGTATCTTTCAATATTTTACTTATTACTTGACCCCAATCCACTGCTTATTTGGTCTTTCAGAGTGTGTGCGTGCGTGCGTGCGTGCGTGTGTGTATCTTAAATCTCTACTGGTACAAAAGTCCCATTGCTCACAACCAACATTTTCTGCTTCATAAAATTCTCATCTTTGCTTCCTAATGTCTTGTAAGTTGTCTCATATTACTATCTGCTACTAGCCTCATCCTAGCAAAAAACGCTCATGATCCCAAAAGGTTTTAAATATCAGTCGGGTTGTGAAGCACAAAATGATTCACAACCCCACTCATGTGTCCTGTCAATAATAATAACCATATATATGTGTATTATTATTATTATTATTATTTTTAAGAGAAAGGGTCTTGCTCTGTCACCCAGGCTTGAGTGCAGTGGTGTGACCATAGCTCAATGCAGCCTTGAACTCCTCACTCAAGTGATCCTCTTGTCTCAGCCTCATGAGTGTCTGAGACTACAGGCACCACTCCCAGCTAATTTTCAAAAATGTTTTTATGTAATCAGGTTCTCACGATGTTTCCCAGCCTGGTCTTGAACTCTTGGCCTAAAGTGATCCTCCCACCTCAGCCTTCCAAAGTGCTGGCATTACAGGCATGTGCCACTGCACCTAGTCCTAATAATAAATAATCATAACTTTATTTTTCACAGAAACAGAACATCTCACATGGTAAGACACATGTCTTATAATACATGCTTGTTATGCCTGATAATTTCAGGGACACATAAAGGAGTCAAAAATAGCTTCAACATTCTAAGTGCAGAGGTATATTTTACTTGATTTCCAGCAACAGGAATAAAAAGAAATGATCTTTATTTATTAACCTTTACATGCACTGTACAGATTGGGAAATTGAAGCTCACAGGTAGAAACTGGTCCAGCAATTGTACAGCCAATAGACCATGGAGCTAGGGTTCAGACTGTACTATTTCGATACTGCCAATCGAAGTCTGTGTCAATAAAGCCTTGAATTACAAAACTCGCTAAATGAAGTAGTGAAAGGCTCTGGCTGAAATTAATTCCTAATTTTGGTAAGAAGGTTAAGGAGTTACTCAAAAGAAACAGCTATCATTTCTTCATAGACAAGGGTTATGCAAAGTATTCCTGCTACTACAATCCCATGTCTAAAACTTTCAAAAGGTAATCTTCTGAAAGAAGCTTATTAATTAAAAAGACGACCTCAAACACCACTCAGGTTAGAGTCCCATCTCAGAGCTAGGGGGAAAAAATGGGTTACACTTTAGAAAAAGTTTAAAGAAAGAATAGGGGTTATCTGTAAAGAGGGAGCAAAGAGTCGGAAGGTTCATGGCAAATGGGAGACAAGGCTGGGAAGACAAATTTCAGTGCATAACTTTTTATATTTTTTAATTTTTGAATCATTTGATTGCATTATTAAAAAATTAAATTCTAAAAAAACTAATCTAAAAATCAACCGTAAGTGCTGTACTCTTCACACTGAACCTTCTCTAAAAAACAGTTGTACTTTTAAGGGAAAGTCACCACATGATTCTAGAGAAGAAATGAAGGAAAACCTTTGGAGTGGCTAGACCAGTAGGCCAATGAAAATGACAAAACTATAGTGATTTTCATAGATCTAGTTGCTTAAATCCAAGTTAAAAAAAAAAAAAAACACATATGAACCACACATCTATGCCGGTTTAGCACCAGCATGACTTACCTTTCAGAACAGCAGGTTTAACTGCCATTCTGCCAACCAGGCATTCTTTCAGCATGGATTCATAATTGACCCAACGATGAACCTGGTATGGAAAACAAATGATGAAAAAGCAACATGACTCTAACTCCACAGGATGCTCTCATTTTAGTATGAGCAAAAGTAAACTTTCTGAAACCACTCTCAACACACACCTAAAAACTAAGAACCACATTCAATTAGTCAACCAGGGAATGACAGAAAGTCTGTAGAGACAGGGATTGTTTAGAACAGTATCATCAAAGTGTTGGGACCTGTGGAGAATTCTGACAGCCTTTCAGGTCTCCATGAGGTCTCAATTTGTTTCATGGTAATACTAATAAAAAGTTACTTGCTTTTTTCAGTTTTGACATTTGCTCTGATGCTATAAAAGCAATGCTGGATAAAACTGCTAGTATCTTGCATTAATCAAGGCAGTGGCTCCAAATTGTACCAGTAATTATTATGTTCTTCACCACCACGACAGGGGAAGGGGCATGATGAAGATATTTAAGAATATTTAAGAATATCCTTCATGAAGTAGAAAAATTATTAATTAAATTCTGATCCTTGGGTATATATTTTTATTATATTTTGTGTGACAAGATGGGAATTCTCAAAAAGTCTACTGCTATGAAGTATGATGACTGCCCTGTGATGAAACACTTAGACAACTGTTTGATTTGCAAATGGAACTGGGCTTTTTTCATGAAAGGCCATTTGCCACATGTTTACCTATGTAACAATCTGAACATCCTGCACATATACCTTAGAACTTAAAATAAACAAAAAATAAATAAATAAAATAAGAAGAAGACATAAATGCAGCCAACCAGCAATGTGGAAAAGGCTTAGTATCACTGATCATTAGAGAAATGCAAATCAAAACCACAGTGAGATACCATGTCACGCCAGTTAGAATGGCTATTAATATAAAGTCAAAAAAATAACAGAGGCTGGCAAGGTTGCAGAGAAAAGGGGATGTTTATACACTGTTGGTGAGACTGTAAATTAGTTCAACCATTGTGGAAAGCGATATGGTGATTCCTCAAAGAGCTAAAAACACAACTACCATTAGACCCAGCCATTCCATTATTGGGTATATATCTAGAGCAATATAAATCATCCTACCACAAATACACATGCACACAACTGTTCATTACAGCACTATTCACAATAGGAAAGACATGGAATCAGCCCAAATGCCCATCAATGACAGACGGAATAAAGAAAATGTGGTACATATACACCATAGAATACTATGCAGTCACAGAAAAGAACAACATCATATATTTTGCGGAAACGTGGATGGAGCTGGAGGCCATTATCCTTAGCAAACTAACATGGAAACAGAACACCAAATACTGCATGTTCTCACTTATAAGTGGAAGCAAAATGATGAGAACTCCTGAGCACAAAGAAATGAACAACAGACACTGGGGCCTACTTGAGGGTGGAGGTTGGGAGGAGGGAGAGGAGCAGAAGAAATAACTATTGGGTACCTGGCTTAGAACCTGTGTGATGACATAATCTGTATAAAAAACCCTCATGACACGAATTTACCTATAAAACAACCTGCACACATACCCCTGAACCTAAAATAAAAGTTTTAAAAAAATGAACAAAAACAAAGAAGGGCCATTTATAAGAGCTACTAGTAAACAAACTGATTATTCAGACTCAGACATTTAACAGGTATTTTCCTGAAAATAAACTGTGATTCTACTGCTTCAAGGAAAACAACTGATAGTATTTGTTGTCAGGTGCCACTGGTGGAAATTATATTTAAAGAACCTTTCTGCAAGGCACCTTCTCAATATGCCTTAAAAGTCGTAAAATAGGCCAGGAATCATTTTAAGGTGCCATGGCTCATGACTGTAATCCCAGCACTTTGAAAGTCTGAGGTGAGAGGATCGTTGAGCCCAGGAGTACAAGGCTGCAGTAAGCTGATCACGCCACTTCGTTCCAGCCTGGGCAAAAGAGTAAGACCCTGTCCGAAAAAAAAAAGGGGGGGGGCTTGAAGCATGCAGCTCTTTCACTCAGATATTTAGGAATTTACCTGAGAAAATAATTGCATATATATAAAGATGTAGGTGCCAGAAGAGTCATCACGGCACTACTTAAATTAGCAAAATATTGGAAACAATCTAAACGCCCAATTGTAAAAGACCAGGTAAAGGAAAATCGATATATAATACTATTCATACAATACTATATAATCATTAAAATAATCGGCCAAATAATGTTAATACTAGAATCTTTATGGTACATCCCAGAGTAAATAAATATACACTAAAATAGTAAGTATGTAAAGTATTGAAAGAAGATAGCTGACTAGAGGCATTTCATACTCGTCTCCTCCACTAAGAACCAAGACCGTGAGTAATCACATTCTGAATAGATCATCCAAGAGAGACCACTGAAATTCAATAGCAAACTGACAAGAAATACTTAAAGGAAGTGGAGGCAGCCTATGGGGCCGGGATGCTGAGAGAGACTCAGGTTAGAGAATCTTAGCAGTCCACATTCCCACCATGGACTCCTGCAATCCTAGCCACAGAAGAACCCTTCAACCTTCGCAGGCCCTGAAACTAAAATAGAGAGCTGCTGAAAGATTCTGTGATGGCACTGCTCCAGGGAGGGAGCTTGTACTGCGTTTCATAAGCTCCCTGAGACCTAAGCAGCTTCAGTAAATGTGTCATTTTAGAGCCCTACCCCAACAAAATGCACACTGTACTAGAACCCAGCAGCATGAGGACTGAAGTGCAAGAGAAGCATGGCTGCTGCCCCAGGTGTTTAGATGCAAGGAACTGCCAGCTAATGTACCATGGGCCGAGGCAAGAGCAAGGTAGCAGGGCTGAAGAACAGGTGGTACATTCCTTCCCCATCCACTGGGCTAGGCTGCCTGCCACTGAGGCAGTACCATTCTGCCCAGTGGCAGGGTATCACCACAACTCCTGTCTCCCTCCACCTGAGCATTCCACTGGTAGCCTGGGGATCACCCCTGCCTACCATGCCTACCATGGCTGGCCTCAACTCCCTCCGCCTTTGCCATAGCACAGTTTGAGGGCCAGGTGATTGCTCAGCCCAGTCCAACACACTGGCACCTGAATACTCCTCCCAGGGGCCTGAGCTTGGACATACCAACCTGGCTGTTACCACCACAGCTAGCACCTCCTTGCACATGCCATCTGCAGGCTTAGAGACCAGCCTGCACAGCCTATAACAGCCTCCATCAACATAAGCATGTACCACCTGGGACCTAGAGGTCACCCCGCCACTGCCACTGTCATCACCCATGCCATATCACCTGCCCAGGGGCCCAAGAACTCACCCACTGCTTCCATTACTGGGATCCAACTAGGCCACCAAGAGGCCCAAGAATCAGCTTGCCTTGATGCACTAACCCTGGTGCCAGCATATGTCATCCTGGGGCCCAGGGACAAACATGCTCAGCCCACTGCTCCCACCACCAGGACCCAAAGACTAACCTATCTGGGGTCCCAGTACCCAGCAAAACTTCACCGCAACTTCCACCAATAATTGTACCCTAAGAAACTAAGGAAGTCACAGTCATCATTGATGCTGTTTACAGCTGAAGAAATCACATAGAGACTATACTACTGCACATATCCAGGATCAAAACCAAAGTGTCCTACCCCACCAACACTACAGATGCATCTACAGGAAAAAGTTCTCCTATATGAAAGCAAATTGAAAAAACTGAAAGAGGGCCAGGCATGGTGGCTCACACCTCTAATCCGAGCACTCTGGGAGGCCAAGGCAGGCAGATCACCTGAGGTCAAGAGTTCAAGACCAGCCTGGCCAACATGGTGAAACCCTGTCTCTACTAAAAATACAAAAATTAGCCGGGTGTGGAGGAGCGTGCCTGTAATCTCAGCCACTCGAGAGGCTGAGACAGAACTGCTTGAACCCAGGAGGTAGAGGTTGCAGTGAGCTGAGACTGCACCACTGCACTCTAGCCTGGGCAACACGGTGAGACTCTGTCTCTAAAAACAAACCAAAAAAACAAAAACTGAAAGAAGTGACTGTTACACCAGATGTACAATATCAACAGGACACAGGAAACATGAAAAAGCAAGGAAATATGACACTTTCAAAGGAACACAATAATTCTCTGGCAACAGATCCCAATCAAAAATAAATTTATGAAATACTAGAAAAAGGATTCAAATGATTGATTCTAAAGAAGCTCAGTGAGGTATAACAGAATTATAAAAAACAATGCCAAAAAAAATTTCAGAATATAAATGAGAAATTAACCAAAGTGATAGATATCATGAAAAAGAACCAAACAGAAATTCTAGAACTGAAGAAGTCGTTGAATAATATACAAAATACATCCAAAGCTTCAACAATAAACTAGATCAAGTAATAAAAGAATCTCAGGATGTGATAACACCTCTTTTGAAATAATCCAGTCAGGCAAAAATAAAGAAAAAGGAATGAGCAAAACCTTTATCACATATACAAAGCAATCAAATTTTTGATATTGGGCTGAAGGTGAAGAGAGAATGAAAGGGTTACAAAATGTGTTTATGAAAATAATAATTAAAAACTTCCCAAGTCTAGCAAAAACAATTTAGATATCCAGGTACAGGAGACTCTGAGACACCCAAATGGACAGAATGCAAAAAAGGTCTTCATGGCATATTAGAATCAAACTGTCTAAAGTCAAAGGCAAAAGACAGAATTCCAAAAACAGCAAGAGAAAAGCATCTAGTCACCTATGAAGGAACCCCCATCGAACACCAGATTTTTCAGCAGAAACCTAATAGGCCAGGAGAGAATGGGATGATATATTTCAAAGCACTGAAAGAAAAAAAACCAAAACTGACAGCCAATAAAGGAGAAATAATTTCCCAGATAAGTAAAAGCTAAGGAAATTCGTTACCACTAGACTGGCTGTACAAGAAACAGTAAAGGGAGTCCAAAACCTGGAGTAAACAGATGACAATGAAGACACACAATAACATACAACTCACTGGTAATCACACAAATAAGGAAGAAAAGGAACTCAAATGTTCTACAGAAACACTACAGAAA